GACTTACCCTGGCAATCGTTCTTCTGTCCAACTTCTGTGCTGTGTGCTGTACATCCCTCATTGCACCATTTTTCGCTATAGAGGTAGGTCACACGAACTGACATATAATGTAGGTATATATCACTTCCTATAGTAACTAATTTATCTTCGAGATATATACTCCAGTTATATTACGTTTTTGCTAAGAAAAATATTACTGAGAGTCTTATGCCAGAAGGCAGAGGCTTATCCGGTAATACGGAACGCAGAATTTTGTGTCCCTTTCATCGGGTGATGATGTCCCTTCACAAGTAATCAATTGTCAAGGTTCATTGTCATCTCATCCTCTGAAGGTAATCCAAAGTACGTGTTGGGAAGTGAAGAACGTCTTCGTTCTGGTTCTATACTGGCAGAATATGATCTGAAGCAGCAATCCGTTAATCTGCTAAATCTCCTGCAGTTTCTTCACACACAGGTGTCTCCTTGTTTCATTGCTGAAATCCAGCAAATGCATTGGGAGAGATCATGCTCGCTGTCGGCGACATGACATGACAGAGGAAGACGACGCAGCTGAATTTAAAAAACTATGGCGTCATCGACGTTGATGGGCTTACCAGAAAAAAAACCAGTGAAAATCGATTATCATCTATCTCCAAGTCAATAAGAGCTGGTTACTTTTACATCGAAGTGGGGGTATATGTCCCAAATAAACAGTAATAGAATCTACACAAAATTTATAGAAAATCGATTTCTGAATGACAAAATGTGATGTCGTTTTGATGTTTGAAATAGTTTTCATTATATTCAATTTTACCCTGCATTATCTAAATTATCAAATACTTCGATCAATTCCATGTGATTTACAAACGTTTTAGTAATATTGTATTATCCCCCGCCACGTCAGTCCGTCCGCTTCTAAATTGGGATAAATTTTCTTAAAAACTATTTGAGTTAGAGAAATTAAATTTACACAGTGATGTTACTGGTCACGATCGCATATGAGTTCGAAAATTGGTGTCATAAATTATTTTTTTACAGACTTACGGGCCTTGCTCCGTGTTTTTCAACTGCGTGAAATAGGGACAAGCTTTTTCAAAAACTACTGCAGTTTCATGAATGAAAGTTTGCATGCCCATCTTAAATTATTTTTCCCAGAGTAGGGTACTTTTGTGTGTATTAATTTCACACTTTATCACATGTTTCTGTTGACATAAAGCGACCCTAGTGCCCATCTCTTCTTAAGGCTTTGTAGGACTGTTTCTTAATAGTTAACATGAATTTCCTTATTGGTCACTACTATACGAACAAACAAAATTCGTATGTGCCCCATGGTAGGGAGAAGTGATAACACTGTTTCCTTGTTTAATTTGTATCCTTAATAACATTTGTAAAAAGAACATCTTGTCCAGGAGCAAGATGAAAGCATTCTTGTGTTTATTTAACAAGTTTAAATCATATATGTTTCCCCCGTGCTGTAGCTAGGCCAAAAGAAAAATGGGAAAGATATATAATGACTAAAAACATTTCTATAAACGATTTTGATAGTTTTATTTTCGTAATTAAATTTCATATTCTGCTTTCCCTTTAATGATAAATAATGCTATTAGTTTCATTTATCTATAATCATTATGATTATCTATTTCAAACGTTTCCTTTTGCAGAATGGGATGAAATGGGAACTTTACTTCAAATCTATCATACTGTCATGTATTTCTTAAAATGTACATGTATACCAAGGTTTAATACAATTCTAAAGTCGCTATTTAAAAGAAATATGAAAGAAAATTGTGTTTTTAACACCAAATTCATCCAGATTTTCCTATTTCACTTAATCTAGATATTACATAGGATTGGACTGTAAATACAGCAAAAAATTCTTTCTTTCACCTGCGAAGGTTAGCCTATCGTTTCCTTGTATTAAATATAGCCTACTCCACACGTCTTGAGCTTTCAAGTTTAAGTATAAACATTGTCTAATTATATCACTCAAGCTGTTTTTAATCGTGTTTAAACCATGACAACAATTTTAAAACAAGTTACGTGATTGTACAACGAATCGATGCTTGTATGACATGGCGCCCGAGTTACCAGTGATCGAAAATAGGTTTGTTGAATAGATTTGCCGCCAATGAAAAGGTGTTTGATTACATCTACGTGTACTTACTCGTGGGTGATAGTACGTCAGTATAGTCTTGTTAATTATTGAGAAATAATAATGATGTCCGATACTAAGCGATGTCAATTAAAGGATTGTTTGAGTTGTTCAGCCATCTGTTATATTTTGTCCTTTGAAAATGTCCGATGTCAATCATCACGAGGATCTTTTTATTACTAATGATAGAGCACTGACACTGAAATATGTACGTAACAGGGATTTCGTCAAGATGAATTAATCCAAAATGTCGTTAGTATTGTAAAAAAATATTTGAAACAGATCTAGATTTCAAACAAGGGCCCTTGCTAGACTTTACTTGCCACATATGCGTGTGCTTCAATATTACAATTAATGTAAAAAATAACAAACTTAGAATACCGGCACGTTCATCGATGGCAAAGCGGTATCTGGTATATACATCCTCGGGGGGTAGGACTTGCGCTGCTTGTGCCTCTGTCACTTGCTTGTAGAATACTAGTCTGCTCCAGAGGATCTTGTTCTACAACACCGCCAAGTACCTCTCACGGCTTCTAGCCCCCTTTAGGCAAAGATGGAAAATCCTTCGTCAGCGACTACTCCTCTTTTGTCAACCAGCTGAGAGAAGCACACCTCACAGGCTCCATGGTCAGCTATGACGTCATCGACCTCTTCACCAACTTCCCTCTACAAGAAGCACTTGACATCCTCCGCAACAAACTACAGAATAGAATCGACGAACTAGACACCAAACTAACAATAGACAGCATCATCAACTTAGCCACAAGCTGCTTTGACACATCATACTTCACCTTCAACGACATGATCTATAAGCAAGTCCACGGACTACCTATGGGCTACCCTCTATCTCCTCTCATCACTGAAATCTTCATGACATCCTTTGAACAATAAGCCCTATCCACAGCACCATTCCAACCCAATCTGCTGGTACCAAAAAGTAGCTAGACGACACATTCACCACCATAGCCCACCAGAACGACCCCACAGAGCTCCTTAAACATCTCAACGCCCAGCACCAGAGAATCCAGTTCACCATGGAGACCAAAACTAATCGACACCTTCCTTTCCTAGACGTGTCCCTCCAAACCACAGATGATAGACTAAGAACACCAGTGTACCACAAGCCCACACACACAGTACATCCACTACAACTCCTGCCACTATCCCCAGAAAAAACAAGCCGTCATCGCCACCCTCACCAGACGTGCCAAATCTATTTGTCACCCTGATGCCGTCAGCAGTGAACTGTACCATCTTAAGGAAACCTTCACTTCCCTCAACAGCTATCCTGCCCACCTAGTCTCCAAAACAATTCGCAAGACCCTCAAGAACTCCGACCCCGGCCCACGCCAACCAAAGTCCCAACCCCCGAGGATGTATATACCAGATACCCTGCAATTGTGGCCACCAGTACATTGGAGAAACCCTTAGACCCCTCAACACAAGACTCAAAGAACATCGGACCTCTGTTAACAAACTCGACCAGAAATCCGCTCTCTCCGAACACATCCTGAAGAACGAAAACCATAACATCATGTGGGAAGCCGCCTGTCTACTGGCGACAAAGGAAACTACAAGAAGCCATGGACATCAGGAGACACCAGCCAACCAGGGAACCTATCTGCCTAGTGCTTGGGATGTATTGCTTTGATCTTTGTCGGGGTTAATTGCCTAGCTGGCTTCAGTTTGAATATTTGAAAAATAGATTTCTGAAGTCCCTCGACTTACTGAAAGTCATTTCAAAATTCTGCTGCCAATGAGTGTCCCCCTGAGAGAGTATGTACGACCGAGTCATTCAAAGTAGTTTTATTCTGCCACGTTTCTATTCGTAATATTTATTCGTTTAATTGGGGTATATTTGTCAATAATCACTAACCTGAAGTGATGATATAAATTCTGAAGGACCCCAAACAGGTAGCAAAGGTACTGTAAGTCACCATACTCCCTAATATAGTGATATATCAAAAGTTGCTGGCGATCTGTAGCCTGTTTCTATCATGTATTATTGCGCATAGTCATATTTTGTTGTTACATACTAGTTTAAAGTACAAATATGTGATACTCTAGTTGTTTTACTGTCCATTGTCGACGGGTTTTTATATTTTCTAAATGTAATTAGTGTTGATGTATAAATTGATCTGGTCTATAAGATTTAACTCACTCACTCAGTCTTTGTCATATGACAGTGCTTGACCAACTGCATTCATCATAACTCACAAGCAGTATTTCTCCAATAGAACAGAGGGCAAGCTCTGAAACAATTTTACAGATTTAACAGGTCTACTGTGACCAACACGTAAGGAAGGTATATGCATAAATTGACGTTGTCGTGTTCATAGTGTAGCTTTATCAACATTTTCACTTCAGGCAACAAAGAAGGGTGCAAGCGAGACCGTTATAGGTTTAATTTTCAGTTCTTCAGAATTCGTCGTCTTCATAACATCGCCCGTGTTTGGACATCTGGTACGTCTTTAAATGAAGCAACGTCTTTATGATATAGTGTGGATATCAGGGCAGCACTTAATTATTAAAAGTATCTCATATGTTTTTCAATTTTTGATTATTGTACAACTCGTTTAAGGTGTATACAAGAGAGATTAGTACCTTGTACGTGTGTTGTGTAATTCTGGTTTGATATTGGTAACATGTGGTTAAGATGTGACTATTTTCCATATATATATATATATATATATATATATATATATATATATATATATATATATATATATATATGCATGCATGCATGCATGCGTACGTACGTTCGTAGTACATACATACATACATACATACATACATACATACATACATACATACATACATACATACATATATATGCACATTCCAATTTCAGTTATCCAAGTACCGTCCCCGGACCTTCTACATTGTCGGAGTATGTGTATTTGGCTGCTGTGATATCATTTTCGGGTAATTTGATTTGTACGAACGTAAATGATAATGTACACACATTTTGGCTTGAATGATAGTTGATTGAGCGACGAGGAGAGGCTGAAATGTTCTGAGCCTTACAATGATGGACAATATTGCGATGATTTTATCGACAAAACATTATTGACCCGGAAAATGTTTGGAAAAATAATTATGCTTCAGACGGTTGAAAAAAGATAAAATTGTCTGCATAAATAATACAATGTTGGAAAATGTTATTTAAAATATATATTTAGAATTCATAAAAAATGTCCACATTAGAACCAAGATGCACCAACAGTGAGGTGAGGTAAACTGGGGTTTAACGTCACGTTCAAGATTATTGCTCTTATATAACGACGTGCCTAAACAGAGAATACCCTGCCACTTTGATGACATATGCTGTCTCTGTGTGTATTAGGTTCAAATGCAGCCAATAAGCATGGAAAGAACTGTACTTAATGCATGCAAACTTTTAAGGAGTGTAAAATACATAACTGATTAACTGAATAAATTAACCCATTTATTGTTAGTAATCATGGTTAATTACAGATAGTGTGAACGCATATAATGGCCCATTTAAATTCATTATAAATAATTATCGACATAACAGTATCATACCATTTATCCACTATACGCCAAGGATACTATCTTTGGAATAACGATCTTTGTCTACATGTTTAATAACACATCCTAGTCAAAGTATTGGACTTATTAATGTGTTTCTCTTTTGTTGTAGATGCTTGGATCAATTACCGTCAGGGATTCCATTTATTGTTGCTTGCTTTATCGTAAGGAGTTTAGAAGCATTGGGAACAGCGGCTGTTATGACATCTAGCTTTGCAATTGCGGGACTGTGTTTTCCAAAACGAATCGCAACAGTTTACGTACGGAATATATTTTTGGTTCTATTTTAAATGTTTTTAATTTTTAAGTTTCATGTACTCCTTGTAAACAAATAACCATTCAATGTAAATTCAAGCTAATGTTGGGTTTTAGAATGTATTGAAAGATGTAAAGTATCTGAATATGTTGTGATATGCATTTGGACACAGGTTTCTTAAATGATGCACAGCACAGGTATTGAAGAAAGTGTGGATTATTCATCGTCACAGCTTGTAAAATATTCTGTTCTTAAATAATTAAAAAGTATTGTCTACGGTGATAAAACCAGGTGTTGGATCTACTGTGACCTTGACCTTAGATGGGATTTATGCCCAAATCTAACCATGTCTGGAACTACCGTATTCGACGTAATAAGCGCCCGGGGCGCTCTCAAAATTAGAAATAAGGCTCTTATTAGAATATAATTTTGGTTAAAGAGTCGAAAGATCGTAAATTTTATGGTTTCTGCTGACAGCCTGAAATGATACAAAAGAAAAGTATGTGCGTATTGTACACGACAGATATATTTTACAGAATTTAATTGCCCGTAATTAAGGTTGCATATAACACACGAGTGCGTATCATACACGAAGAAATGTACACGAATTGTGCACATTGATCAGTCGGAAGGGTGCTAATTGGGATTGTTCACTAGCCAATATATTTTCAAATATCGCCGTGGCGCTTATTAGAGCGGGGCTCTTATAACGTCAAATACGGTATGTCGGAAATTCAAAATGCATATGTTGTACTGCAAGTCATCTTGTTATCATAAAACTGTATCCAATCCAAAGCCTAAAAAATCATGAATGATATCTAAAGGAAGTTACTGTTGTACTTATATTGATCTAGGTGAGCTACAGAGTCGTATTGTTATTTTCTTATATAGATTATGTTCTGTAGGCAGTGCTTAAGTCTATTAATGGAGGTGCTTTTATGATTGGACCAGCAATAGGAGGTGGCTTCTATGAGGTGAGATACAGTATGAGGTGAGATACACTATGCCATACAAAGAGATTACTACACTTATTGTCGATTGATACTATGATTTGTTTGTTTGTGATTTAACGCCGCACACAACAATAGAAATAGACCAAAACAAAACCCATTGCAAATGAATAATAAGATGTGCCTAAATATGGCTATTGTTTGCAGTTCAAGGCATATTCATTAAACAAAGTGTTCCTTTTGTGAGTGAGAAGATGACAGCAGCAATACGTAAATTCTTTATTTGAAACTGTCTTCGACTAATCGTAATTCATGCGATTGGATGTTACTTCGCCGACCACTTAAAATGTCAAACAGTGACGCTCTTTAAATCTCGGACTTGCAGTCGGTCACACACGCCGCCTGTATCCCATCTGCGCGTTGTACAATCAACGTGGTTCGGTTTCCTTTTAACCATAAGCTGAAATTATATCCCTTTCCATTTTCGAAGAGGGAAATCATTGTGGTCACCATAGAATTTCCTTTTAACTTACGACCCTCTACTGAACAAGTGAAAATTAACCAACTTGAGTCTGCTTTGATATCGTGTCAGCGACAGCTTAAAATGAAAGGTCATGTCACCATCAGAATAGAACAATCCAACCATAATCTACACACAACGGTTTACGCATGAGGTCAAATGTTATTTGTTATACGGAATAATATTTGTAATATTTTGGATCTTGTGGGACACAAAATCTGAAGTCAGACAATCCTTCACGACGTTTTTCCCTTCACGACATATATCAGGAATATTAAGTTTGAGTAAGTGCCGCTGTTCGCTGTTGCACCCTTTAGGCACGCCAAAGACCTATGACCGTGGGTTCGCTTCTCGGTTCGCAACAACTATGTTTCTATGTTTCTCAGCACCTTACCCGTGCTCTTGGGTTACGAAAGTGGTAAACGTCCAAGACCTGCATAACTTCGGGCTTTCCTCCCATACCAAGCTGACACGCCGTGTTGAAACTGGAATACTGTTCTAAACGGCGTTAAACCCAACTCATTGTGCAATCGGGTATCGGGACACTGACGGAACAGCCACAGCATCTAACGTTAGTCCGGATGAAGGTCCAAACATTTTAAACTGGCTTCATTTCGCAACTGTGAACTATTTGCCTTTTATTAAATTGTAATTGAAAGTGGTCGGGTGCATAGGGTCTGTAGTCTGAATGTACACGTAACTCGATTGTATAATGTCTGTAGTAGCTCTATCTATGACTAATGTAGAATGCAAAGCAAACTTGTGGTGTGTGGCGTGTGGCGTGCGATACACTAAGCCTTGTACGTACGACACACGTGTGACGAATTTAGTATCTCACCACCTGGTTAATAATGTATTACATGCAAAAGTGAGATCTAAACAATAATACTTAAAAATACTAATCTGTTTACAATTGTTTCAATTAACAGTAAAACAAATCATAGTGGCTTTTATGAGTATGTTAAGGTATTGTAGATATTGATGGACAGTTTTTATATGACAGGTGTACACTTTCGTTACCCAGTTCATTTTATAAATTGTATTACATGTTTTAATTACTTTGTAAATATATGTGTGTTTTCAGAAAGGATTTTTCTATTTTTTTGTACATGAATATTTTAGCAGAAAGAGTCTTTAGAAACACTGGACGTAACAAATGTGTGAATGGTGTTATCATTTACATTCGTTTTTAGAGGTTAACTGTTGATCGTCATTATTCTGAATTACCCACCCCACATATATCTGCAATAGAAAACATATCTCGATACCATTATTATTCCACATCATTATTTCAAATTGACAGTTAAATGTTACTAGTTATTTATGAATATTCGTGTTATTGTTTAAAGAAAACAAGTGTACTAATCAATATAAATTTGACTTCAAATGTGTAAAATGCGGGTGAGTGAGTGTGTATTTCCGCAGCTTTTAGCAATATTCAGCAATATCACAGTGAGAAACACCAGAAACCAGAAACGAAAATATCTTACAAAGCAAATTCAATAGTAAGTCCAAATAGTTCAAATAAATTAAATACATATATTTAGTAACAAATGTGGACCACATAGCAATTACCTTTCGATGACTACCAACGAGGGATGTTTGGTTTTTCATTCCGACATACAGCACACATGAACCATTTCTGATAAACAAGTTCAGAAAAGTTACCTCATTTTTATTAATGTCTTAAACATTGCATATTGTTCTTTCATTCTTTGGGCACTTGTAATTCATATGCAGATGGTATGCATTGATATTAACAATTGTTTACACCTCAGTTAGGAGGGTATGGCCTTCCATTCTGGGTTCTCGGGAGCTGCACGTTTGCCTGTGGATGTGCCTCTTATGTCGTGCTACCTCGTCAAGACGGTATGTTTCCGCTTGTTACATAAACAATGAATATCATTTTTTCTCAATCCCCATAATTCTTTCACAATAGTGGGTGTGAATAGATATACAGTTCGTCGACCGGAACAGTTTGTATGTGGTGAAGACGTAGTCATCGTGTCATTGAACTGACAAAAGTTATAAAGTTATAATTTTAAAACCAACTTCAAAGAAGCCATACTGATTGGCAAACTTTATCTGTGTTTTGCCTACTACTATTGAATAGGTAAATCCACAAATACCAAATAATTGTATTATTATTAAACATAAGGTCATGAGCGGTTGGTCGTCAAAGGCCTCAGTTTACTGTTCATAGCTTCGTGATTAAGAACGGAATCCTGTGAACGTAAGTTCGAATGCGAAATTGACAGCAGTGTATCCATACTCATGATGAGTTTAACTTGTTTCAGTTGGAAACTAATACCTAAATAACATCGAACGTTCCTATCACTCCAATCTGACATGCCATAATATATATGAAGTACTGTTGGAAGTGGCCACAATTCCACTTAATCAGCCTATAATACTGCTACAAATCCATCAATTATTTTAAAGTGTTGTTGTCTGGGAGACAATCACGGGCACATAAAAGCCACCATCATGTGACTAAGGAACAAAACTGGCTGGGTCGATCGACTTATTATCCAGTTTGGCCTGACATATCCAACCATTTGAATCTTATTGAAATAAAACAAAGACTTATTGGAGAGAAGCCAAAGACAGGTCTGATTTCCTCATTCGTTTTGTACCAAACAGGAGTAAGTTTGGATATAGGATTGGGTGTTGCCCATCGGTCCGCCCCTCCTTCCGTTCTTTTCCTGTGCATTACCCAAAGACCTTTCAATATTTCTAGTCCAAACTCTGGACACATATCAGTCCAGCCATGAACTGATGCGTTTTGATATTTAGGATTTTTTTCCTGTATGCATGGGATTAAATTCAATCAGTAAAAAGCTCTGTATCCAGAGTATGACTCATGAAGCATTGTGACTTTTGTGTTTTATATTTTTTATCTTTCATATTTATTTTTTAAATTCCATTGAAATAAATGGAAACTCCTATTACATCTAGTGGTAAGCATCTCATGGTAACACCACCATATAGGTATCAGTCTGATGGGAGGTTTTGATTCAGTGTTATTGATTCTTTAGAAAAAGTCCCAGGTGTTTTTTTTCTGGGACCTTAATCTTGCACACAAGAGAACATTTTCATGCTTGTACGATATAAATGTGCATGTATATGTTTGGGAGGATGTGCGATTCCGACTATATCATTAGCATGGGTTTATGACTCACTATCAAATAGTGTGATGTTACCAGGTCTTCACGAAAAAGTGAGCGTATTCGGCCCCACCGGTGGCACCATAATTTGAAAGCTTTACTGAAACCTTTTTTTCGTAATCTTGATCAAACAACTTTTGAGCAAAAGTCGTACGACGTTCTTTGACATCTCCGTAGATTGTACTTCAAAAGTTGTTGAATCTAGAGACCAAAGGCTGGAGTTGCTGGAATATTTGCTCGATGTAACGGGAAAGTTGACCATAGGGAAAGTTGACTACAAGGAAAAGTTAAAGTCATCCTCTTCGCACAAAGTTTTGTAGAGACATTTTTGTGACTCTGAATCTTTATACACAGATCTAAATATGAAACCGATGAGGCATTCTCACTTGTTTCCGTTATTTTTAGTTCAGGTGGTCAAATCAGCGGAAGGGAATTAGCCAGTTGGTGGTTATTGAGCGATATCAGATCATTGATAGACCTGAAGCTTAAGTTTAACTTCTTGGCTTTGTCACTCCAATCATAAATTCAAATTCAACTGCATCAAGAGACAGATCAGCAGCAAGGGGAATACAATTGTTGCCCATGGAGAAGCCTACGACGTATACTTACTTAAAGGGGACACGGGTGGCCCAGTCGTCTAAGGCGCCGCGATTCGCTGTGCAGAATTGCGTCCCTTGGGCACGCCAGAAACCTATGATTGTGGGTTCGAATCCCGGTTCGCCACGATTATGTTTCTAGGTTTGTCAGCACCATACCCGTGCTCGTGGGTTTCACCAAAGTGGTAAACGTCTGAGACATGCATCACTTCGGGCTTTCCTCCCACATTAAGCTGACACGCCGCGATGAAACTGGAATATTGTTAAAAGCGGCGTTAAACCCAACTCACTCACTCACTCACTTACCTAAATCTTTTACTTCCATAGTTGTTATCAATGATTTGTTTGTTTGTTTGTTTGTTTGTTTAACGCCGCACTGAACAATATTCCAGCTATATGACGGCTGTTATCAATGAGGATGTCCATCATTTCACATATTGTTTCCTCAGTATACTTAAGATGGCATTTGCTTTCATCTTTGACAAATTTCCTGAACCCCTGAAGAGAGATAGGCTACTGTATCTATGGTCAAGAAGTTTTGTAACAAAAGCCCCATGGACCAAGGAATGACGTTGTTCTTTAGTTTTTCATATGGGAAAGTAGTTTTCAAAACTGAAAAATGAAATGGGTTTGCAAAAGAATTAACCACCTTGGCTAACCATTACACTGTGATTATTGGAGCTTGTCCATCCGTACATAAACTGTAAACTGTGTTATGCTTGTCTGTCCATTCATTTTTACCTCGAGCTTGTAAGTCCATGCATAACCTGTACTGTTAAACTATATCCTGGTGTAACATAGCTTGAATGTATTTCAACGTCACGTCATGTTGTAGCTGTTCCTTCCACACAAAGACGATCAAGTGTTGCTGTCTCACATTCATTAAGGAGTCCCTCAGTCTGGTTTGGAGCCCTCTCCATCTACGCTGCTTACTTTGGGTTGGCCTCTATGGGTCCGTTCTACGCCCAGCACCTGACACAGGTAGGTATGGCTTTCACCTAACACAGGTATAGGAAATGAGTGTGTGAGTATGGTTTTACGCCGCTTTTAGCAATATTCCAGCAATATCACGGAGGGGGACACCAGAAATGGGCTTCACACATGGTACCCATGTCGGGAATCGAACCCGGGTCTTCGGCGTGACGAGCGAACGCTTTAACCACTAGGCTACCCGACCGCCCCAGGTATAAGAAAAAGACGATACGATGAGATCTTGACACAGATAGGTATCCCCAGCATCTGACACAATAAGTCATGGCCAGTGAGAACATGAACGGGTAGGTATGATTGGCAGATGATAAAGACGTATGAAGGATTTTAGGGCACCTGACTCAGGTAGGTAAACCGAAGGATGCTTGATCGGTAGAAATGGCTAGGTATGACTCGCACTGGTAGACATTATCATACTGAACATAGGTAGGTCATATTAGTATCTGACAAGCACTATGTAGGTATGACGACCATCAGATTGAATGACTCACACATTATCAGACCCGTGATGTTCGGAGTTAGAATAACTCTTCAGCAACCCGTGCTTGTTGTAAGAGGCGACTGACGGGATCGGATGGTCACACTCGCTGACTTGGTTGATGCTTGTCATCGTATCCCAATGGCTTAGATCGATGTTTATGATATTAATCACTGCATTTTCTGGTCCAGATTATTTGCAGACCGCCGTCATAGAGCAACAATTGTGATGAGTGCGGGGTTAAACAACAAACAAACTCATAATCAGTTTTGTGTGTTTAATGGACTTATCTGTAATATCTCAACATTTTAAATGAAGACGTTTGAGTTAATTAGTGAGCTAGATGAATAAGGCAGGGAGTGGAAAGCGCTGCATCAGCTCTCATTTTGTAGAAGATATTTTCAGAAAACTGATTACGTTTCAAGAAGTGTTAATCGTGTCAAAACTCCGTTTTCTTTGCTATTTCAGTTTCACGTAAGCCAAGTTATTATTAGTTTGATCTTCATGACGGGCCCAGCTGCCTTTTCTCTTTCCACACCACTCTGGGGATATCTACTTGACAAAAAGGTATGTCATGCTGACGAGTACATTCTTTGTGTGAGTATGTATAACAATGCGATCACCACACCACATTATCTTCTATTACCAATTGGACATTTTCGAATTTCTTCATTTGTCTCCTACATCCTCAGTAGATATGCTTGTTGTAAGAGGCGACTAACGGGATCGGGTGGTCAGGCTCGCTGACTTGGTTGATGAATGTCATCGATCCCAATTGCGTGGATCGATGTTCATGATATCAATCAATGGATTGTCTGGACCAGACTCGATTATTTACAGACCGCCGTCATATAGCTGGACTATTGCTGAGTGCGGCGTTAAACAACAAACCAACAAATCAACCAGTAGATAATACAACATTTTATGTGTAAATATCATAGGAATGTTTTACAATAACAACTGTAATATTCTCCTCGTCACAATATGGCTGAAATACTGCTGATGTGAAGTTAAGCATAAACTCACTCACTATAAAATTCTCCGATATGAGGACTTACTTCTCAGTTACGAAACGCTCTGAATGAAATTCAAGCAGAATTGCTAACACTGCACATTTATCGACACCATGTGCTGGTGAATTGACCCTATGCTCTTCACTATGGCAAGCGATCCGCTCCCTTCCATTGGAATAATGTTGAGGCGGGAACGCGGACTGCACAGCGGGATGGTGTGGATCGGAGGGCCTGTCGTCTAATGCGCCGCTATTCACTGTGTCCTTCGTCACGCCAGAAAGATATGACTGTGTGTTCGAATCCTGGTTAGCCCCGATAATGTTCTAGGTTTGTCAGCAACATACCTGTGCTTGGGGATTTCACCGGAGTGGTGCTCGGGGATTTCACCGGAGTGGTGCCCGTCCAAAACATGGATCACTTCGTACTTTCCTCACACATCAAGCTGACACGCCCCCACCCACTCACTCCATTGGGTAATTACGCTCAGACAGTAAATCTTTGAAATCGGATAACGCTATATATTTAATGCAAATATGAAACAAATAATTGTGATGAAACGTGAGTAATATTTTTTACTACCAGGTGTCAGCAATCCCTACATTGTGGGGAGCACTGTGTTGTCTATCCGCCAGTTACCTATTTTTTGGACCAGCTCCATTTTTGGGATTTGTTCCGACGTAAGTGTTAACATATAATATCGGTTACAATATTATTTGTATAATGATCTCAATGGTGGTTGTTCTAATGTTGGGTTTCTTCCAAATCATAACACTGTGACTCTAAACGTGAAAAATGGTAATCGTGTGTTAATGCAAACTCTGTATCACCTCAATATAACCCCTTCAGACGCCGCACACACAAACACACACGCACGCACGCACACACACACACACACACACACACACACACACTTAGCTGATGTCTTTTTAACTGGTCTAATTTTATTCACAGAGAAGTATATCTAACTTTTGTAACAAGCGCACAAACCCCAGATATCTTTATACTTCCTTACGTTTGTTTGCATATCAATATGGGCACACACATAGTATAACATAAACACAAATGTTAAGTTATGTGAAAACAAACAATTAGATTGGCATGTAGACACGTTTGACGTGCGAGGGATTACATTTAAACCTCATTTAAGATACCTTAGGGTGATTACTTCCAGAAAAAGACTTCTAAAAATATAAAAAGACATTTGGCGAACTGGAGAAGAAACTTGACATTAATTGGTAAAATCAGAATACTTACAAAACACAATGCATATTTTACGACATTACCTAAATCGCCAGAAACTACGAGTTTGGTGTTTCAAGAGCACGCTTATCAATCCTGAAAGTAGAGGATGTAGACAACTGTGTTATATTTGAATCAAAAGTGGTAATGTACCACATGTATGCCAATGATAAACCCAATTAACAGTCTTGTCTGGAAGGATATATTTAATCAATATCCATTCCCAACATGGATACGATGTGTAAATGCCATTTTGGTGCCCCGTTTGGTGATATATTGCTATAAGCGGCGTAAAACATACTTACTCACTCACTCACTTGTCTTTACCAGTCTGTTGTGGCTGACAATACTGATGTTTGTATGCATCGGCTTTTCAACTGCCCCTGTCATTGTCAGTGCGATAAAGTGTATATACCAAGGAGCGAGGTGAGTTCCGTTTACACAATCCAATTGCGTGGATCGATGCTTATGATGACAGTCACTTCATTGTCTTGTCCGGACTCGTTTATTTACAGACATACATGTATAGCTGGAATATTGCTGAGTGCGGCGTTAAACAACAACAACAAAATCAATCAATGTTCAATTCGTAAACGTCATTAAACAATGTGGGCAGCCAATTTCTGGTATCCCCCGCAGCGATATTGTTTGAATACTGCTAAAAGTCTCTCACTCAACCACACCGCGTTGTCATTCAAGGATTAGTATCACATAATACCAACAAATTAACATTAGAGGATATTTATTCCAGTGATGACTGATGCGTTTGGTATTTGCAGTGTCATTAATGTAAGCTCACCTTCGCATCGCCAAACTTTAGTTTCGACAGCTTTGAATAACTTTTTATAGATGTAATATTACATACAATCTTCTCACGACATAAATGCTTATTGTCATGTAATGTATTACATACAATAGCATTGCAAGATCTCCAAACTTAAAATAAACCTGCCTTAAAAATATATATTTTCATATTTAGTACTACAATCAACTTGAATTTCATATTGACATGCAAATGGTCACAGAGCTAGACCCTTCCGCCCACCAAGTACGCCAGCACGTGTATTCTGAACCGAATCCCCACATGAAAATGTTTCTGTTTCAGAGATATGGGACAAAAGGACGATGGCGCTACTTTGGGATTCTTAGCCGGCATCATTCAGTCATCTAATTACATAGGGTAAGACGTTTCACGTAATGATTTGTATGAATAACTGTACCTATGTTCTGAGGGCACTTAACAGCTTAGAACGTAACCCTGCCGAGCAATGCTACTGTCCGAAATAAGGTGATAGCTGGCCTCACTAATACATAGCTATATTCATCTTTGATTCCTGGTTTTATAAAATGCAGTAACCTTACTCCAGTAATGTATTTTATACTTTGCTACAACCTGCAGTTCCATTGTACCAGTCAGCAAATGCTTTGAAATGTAACTCGTCCAAAGAAAGGTGAATGAGGCGTTTCTGAAAAAAAAAATACCCTAAAATAAATACAAGTAGCGCTTTAATAGCACTGAGGATTAAACAATTGTTACTAACATTGCCATGTGTTTTGAAGTTATTGAAAACTGTACTTTACATGCGTTGGATAGGGATCAACAAAGATTTTATGTACATATATACGTATGTACATATGTACGTATGTCCCATATGTCTAACCTAGGTACGGTAAAAAAATATGTGTCCCTGTATTTAAGTAAGATCGTTTGGATTTCACCCAAAGACACAAAGACTGCAAAACGTCGAAAACTCAACTACAAGAATTGTAACAAAATCCCAGAAATACCGTCACACTAGTTCGACCTTCACTGACTTCCTGTTTCGCAAAGGATACGATACAAGATCCCCACAGTCACGCGGCCTAACCGTGTGATCAAGGGAACGAGTACTTTCCTTCAAGAGCCTTACAATCAAGTCACCGGATGTAATTTGAAATTCGGATCTTTCGCCTCCAATGCAGCTGTAGATTTAAGATCACTTTCTACGCTCAATCAGTTTGAGAAAACCTATTCTGTTGCTCTAAAATATGTATAGCTTTTCTAAGCATTTTTAGCACATTCATATGTACCATTATATAAATGACATTATTATGTACAGATGTAAATACAAAAGGACATCTCACCCGTTCAGTCCCCACAAAACATTATACAATGGAATTGCAGAGGTCTTAAGAAGAATTGTAATGAAATACAACTTTTAATCCAAGATTTAAACCGTCAGCTTTTTGTCTCAAAGAAACATATCTACAAAACACAGATCTATTATATATCCGTCAGTACAGTTCTTACCACTCGTTTTCCCCTCCTGGTGATAAAGCAACAGGAGGTTCTTCTATCCTGGTGACATTTTTACAGACCGGTCCAAGGATGATGGCAAAGTTGCAAGTGCCACCATCATTGGACCCAGAACTGTCTCCTCAAGAATACCAGATTCTAGTTCATTTTTGACTGCTGTGGCAAACGCTATCTTTACAGCTTTAACCTATATCAAACATCAAAACCAATCTAAAAACTTCATCATCTTCTCAGATTCATTGTCATGCCTTCAGGCACTTAAACGTGTATCCTCAAATCATCCCAGACATTTTAGAACTTTTCAATGATCAACTGGCCTATGCGAAATCGTCTTTTGCTGGTTACCAAGTCATGTAGGCATAATAGGTAACTTAAAAGCCGATGCTTCTGCTAAAGCAGCTCTTGACAAACCGTTATCTTCACTACTTAGCCCGTGCGGTGATTTCAAACCAACTATTAAAAGTTATGCCCGGGATCTCATGCAAAAGAGGTGGGACACCCAGGTAGGAAGCAATAAACTTCACGAATTAAAACAAACAATCGGTCAAACCTTCTTGGGTTGTCAGTCAAGACATGACGAGGTCGTTTTACGACGATGTCGTATTGGCCACAGTCGGTTTACACACGAATATCTGCTTAAGACAGATGAGGACGAGCCTCCTAAGTGTATCCCTTGTGATGAAAGGTTGCTTGACTGTGTGGACTTTGCAACCGCAAGGGTTTCACATTATCAAAGCGTAAATCTCTTTTCCAGTGTTAGCGGGCATCTTATGATCAGCTATTTGAAAGAAATTGGTCTGTATAATAAATTTTAAATATGTATGTGAATAAATAAATGCTTGTTTTTAAATTTGGTGTGATGCTATTATCAACTGACATTACTGAAGAACTGTTGTCCCCATTTGTGACACGTAATCCTATCATAATCGATGTAACTATCATCAACCATTGTTTTAAGCCAACTCATTGCTGAGTATTTTTTTTATATTGGCTAGTATTGTGCACAACCACCAGTAGCTAAAGTGATGACGTAAATGCAGGAAGCAGAGGTACTGTAAATCTCCATGATCCCCAGCGAGATGGCCTAGCTTTGGTTACTGGCGGCCTATAGCCCGTGTTTTAAAACTGTATATGTAATATTGTTATGCTCAAATATGTTTCATAAATTGTTTCTAAATATAGTATGCTCAAATATGTTTCACAACTTGTTTTTAAATAAAACTTTGCATAAATATAAATATATTAACCTGTTCGTCGCTAAATGGCTGAAATAATGCGATGCAACGTTAAATCTTAAGTCACTCACTGTCCCTAATCTGCATCCCAAAGTACGTATATGCCTGACCTTCCACGAGATGGTCAATAACTCCTCCTGAATATTATTATTATTATTATTATTATTATTACTACAAAATGGAACCCCTTGCCTGACTTTTTGATATCAGTAGGATCGCTGTCACTTATTCAGATACATAAAAGAGACACAACCCTTTCCATAATCCTAAGAAATATCCACTCTTCGTTTCCAACTATATCACAAGCATGTAAGAAACTGATAAATGTGTTTGTCAGTACGAGTATAATTCAAACTATTCTTTGCAGAACATTTTCTGGTCCCATTGTAACTGGAATAGTCGTTGATCATTTCGGATTCCCGTGGGCGATGGTTGGATGTTCCGTTCTGGTTACGATCACGGTAAATAATTATAATTGCGATGAACTTGTATAGTGCTGGTATTCACACCTCAGACAGTTGCTGAAGACCTACGTGGTCTAGTGGATAAAGCGTCTGCCAAGAGAGCGGAACGTCAATGGTGCGATCCCTGGACGCGTCTTACCAAAATACGTTAAAAACTTATACTTGTTGTTGCCCTGCCTTTTGCTCAGCATTAGTGGGATAAAACAAGGACGTCGGTATGGTGTCTCAGTGGGCCAGCATTATAAAACCAGCATTACTGCGGACTAGTCAGGTAGTCACTCAGACACACACGTGCGCGCACGTCGCTATATAAGTGCAAAAATCTTGAACGCGACGTTAAACCCGATTTCCCATTATGCAGCTGCTGTCTAGTTTTTCAGTAAACTATAAGACATGAATAACAATGCAATACTCCTAATTGTAGTGATGCTGTCTGTGTTGCTCTTCCAGTGGCTGTCCTTGACGCCTTACCTTGGGGTCACATTGTGGAGCAAAGGCAAATTGAAGAATGCAAACACGGAAGACTATATAGAAATAAAATAAACACAAATTATACTGAAAACTCTGCTTTCCAAATGGTCGACTCGTGGTGACTGTGGTCTGTAAATCGTCGAGCCCGACCAGACATCTACTGATTGACATCAACAGCACCGATCCACACAATTGGGATACAATGACCTATACCAAAGTAACTCTCTAAAGGCTTGCTCGAATTTGAGTTCCACTTCCTCCGCCGCTGCAATTGGTTTTCTCATCTACGCGCTTCTGACAGATGTGACTTAATGATTGAATGTTTCTCACATAGAATTAAATTACATTAAAGGCGAAGCACAATCAGTGTGTACTGGGCGTGTACTCTTGAGTTTTAATGAATGGAACGTGACGAAACAACGTACACATTAGGGCTGTGCATTTGCAAAACATTGTATTGCAACATATTGCAAAACAGCGTTTAGCCGTGACTGACACAGATTGTACATGCAGATATGTTACGATGTCAAAGTCATGATGGTCAGTCGCCGCAGAAAAAGAACTTTCCATTGTAATGAGAGATCTCTACGAAAAGCAGAGTATATTGTACCATTCCAAGTTCAACTCTGGCAGGTGCTTATGAATCAACAAGTGGTGATACAGGTGTTCGCGAAAAGGTGAGCGTATCCTGCCCCACCCGTCACAAACACTTGCAAAGGCAAGTCAATTGATCACCTGAAAAAGCACGGGAAAATTCAAAATAGGGAATTGCATTGGTCATCATTTCTGTCTTTAAACTATTTTGATAACAGAAAACATCAGAAACCCACCCGGTTATTATGTATAATCCAGGTATGATTGACAAAGGGGGTGAGTGAGTGAGTTGATATGCGTGGAAAGCCCGAGTCTATGCAGATCTCAGACGTTTACCACTTTGATGAAACCCACAAGCTGATGCTGACAAATCTGGAAACATAATCGGGGCGAACCGGGATTCGAACCCACAAACCAACTCTTCAAGGCGAATTGCGGCGCCTGTGCCCCCAAACAGACACCTTAAGTAGTTCCATCGGGTCTGTTATCTTCCTGCTTTTCGATTCATCTAGAACACACATATTTTGTCCATTTGATGGCAATTATATATGATGTAGTTGTTCTTAAATGAAAAATATGTAAACCCAGCCGTAAAAATATCCCAGTATAAATGATCATGGCCACTCGCCTTTTCCATTTTCCATGATCAGCATGTAAGAAAATGTTGAATGCATAAACTATGCTGGTGATCATTTACATCCGTCTCCACGGGTATGGAGCTGTATCAAATATTCGTTATTGATCACTCAAAATGCTTCTAGAGTTCACGTCATGAGTCATATGGTGACCTTTGACTACAGAGGACAACTCGATATTTAAATATGACTGTAAAACGTGACTTTCGATTTACCTTTTATGAAATAATATATTCACATTGTAACATGATAATTGTTCAGTAAACCCTTTATCAACGTTAATGTCACTGACAAAGCTTAATAGAATGTATAAAGGACCGAGCTGTTACAAGTACAATGTACAGCCATTGTTGCTGATCATTGCTTCGGGATTCCACGGTTAGAAACAGCACTCCATGCTTATCGTAAGGTAGTCTTATGTGTGATTGACCCGACATGGGTACAATGTTTGAAGCAAATTTCTGGTGTGCCCGGGAATATTGCCACTTAAGCGGCGTAAATCCATATTGACTCACTCGTATTATGTGTGGTTGATTAAAAGAGATAATTGGTTGAGTCTCATCATATCCAAAAGGATATACAGCTACTTGGTGGCAACAAGTTAAACTCAAACACTGAGACTATTGAAGTGCTGTTGAATCTATCGTCATAACAATCTAACAAAGGCAAAATGAACCCCCATAGAAAACTTGCCTAAAGTGACGGGCACGAAGAGGAACAGTCGTACCCAGGCAATCGTTCTTCTGTCCAGCTGAACGCTGTATATCCCTCATTGCACCTATGTTGCAATAGAAGTAGGCCACACCGATTAATATACAATGAAGTTATATATCACTTAGTACATCAACTGAATTTATCGTCTAGGAATATCCAACAATGATATAATCTATGTACTTAATAAAGTATAAAAGTGTGAATAATGAACATATGTACCAGGTAATAATAGTGTTTATCATTTAACTAAAGTATTTATCCATGACATAAGCGTCGGACAGAAAAACAAGCATGTCATTCCCCATGACATAAGCATGCAAATTAGGTAACCGGAAGTGAGACTTTCTTCGCCGGTGCACGTGAGCAGGTGTGTACAAACAACATGGACATCTTTGATGTTGGAAACAATGTTTTAAAAGATCAAAAGGGGAGTGCTTCTGCGACATCATCGTTGCTAAATGCATATTACAGATTGATGGTACCGATGTGATTTGACTGTGATGAAGGCAGATTATCTCAAATTCCCTGTGACACAAAGCCTAATGATGCCCTAAATAGATGTGTCGCTGTTGTGGACGGTATAATCGATGGCGCGATCCTAGACAATTAAAACAGAAACACAGCCAAGAAAACTATGATTTGAAACTGTTTCATAACATTCCAAAAGTTCAAAATGAAATTCGCCAAACGAAATACCAACACACGCACTAGACACACTTCTATGCACGTTGTTCATAAGTGTTCGAAAAACACGGGGCTATTAGGGCAGCATCGAGAGGTCCCTAAACGAAGGAGGTATGGCTATTCCTTTACGTCATGCTTGCAATTTTCAACGTGACGGGATGTAATAAGGAGGAGAAACTTGAACTAAAGGAAACTGAGCGTGGACCCGATTAGTGATGAAGGGATTGAGTCCGGCAGTCCGGATCTATTCGACGTAGTAACCCAATGAGCATAACTCTCTGGCTCTACAACACAATTCCATTTCGGGTTAAGAGGTGTCAATGATCACTACAACATGTCTTTGGGGACATCACTTTGCATGTTGATGGAGACAATCGAGAATATCCATGTGACTGGTGAGAGTCCACATGATTGTCGCGACATGAGGCCCAATATGTGGTCTAATGTTGCTGATCTCTCTCGGTGCGCTGTATGCCTCCACGCGTCCGCCCGACTTCTGTCGAATGATTATCCGTTTTACATCGGAACACACACTTTATTTTGGCATGCCTAAACATGGCAATCAGTAGTTTAATGGATATCGTATTGGGAAAAACAAACTTCCCCCTCTCATGAAAGGCAGGTATGTTGCCGCTAGTCTCCAAACATCGAAACGACTCACTAGTCACTCTGCGCGTTACAAAAACTACACACACCTTGTGCAAAAGTTGAATGACAATAATATTCCGCCAAATAAAATAGTGTAGATAACTGGTAACAAAAATATCCATTTTGTGAACAATTACTGCCATATTAGCACAAGAAAATATCCAACATAATTTCAGGAAACACTCCCTCCAACACTGTGACATCCCAGCTAGTTGATGAAAATAAAGCGGCAAAACCCTTTCCAGTAGAAATATCTGCATAAAGTAAAATCGACTGTGCGACCATATCATTTATTAGCATGTGTTTATGAATCGCCATTAAATAATGATGATTCCAGGTGTAAGCGAAAAGGTGAGCGTACCCTACCCCACCCGTTGCATCTGTCACAAACACATGCAAAGACAAGTAAATTGTTCACCTGTTATCACACGGGAACATATGGTACACATTATTAAATTGAATCTGTTCAATCCATGCATGAACTGACAGTCAAACAATGGTACTGGTCCACCCGTGTATACATTTGTTTACCTATACGATTCATACATAACTGTCGAATAACAGTATCCTCATTCTTGTAAATCCATGCTGACACCGTCATGTAACACTATGTCCATCTAGTCACCCAGAGCTTTAATGTTGTGTAGAAGATCCTCCCACACAAAGACCCTCTAGTTTTGTTGTTTTAAGGCGTCCTGAGTCTGGTTTGGATTTTTCGTTGTTTTCACAATAGTGGAAAACTTTAAAAATATTATTCACTTTGGACGTTCATCCCACATTGAGATGACACGCTGTGATTTAACTGAAATAACAGCCTAACAAAGCCCCATAGTGTTTTCCCCAACCTAATCCGTTCTTCAAGTGCAGAATCACATTAATATTTATATAAAGTAATTGCTTTGTTGCTTTATTTGGGTGGTACTTACCTTATCTTTTGATAATTCCTTACAGCGCAAGTCCCATGAGTATATACAACTTTGCAGAATTGGATAGATCGTAACGCCGTTAATGTCAATATATCATTCAAAAAACCGAAAACGGCGGTAAATCAGGTTTATTTGCCCTGTCTATCAATTTCAAAGACTGAAACGAAAATACATCGGGGGCGAAGCCTTTATTACAGAGAGGCTCCATATATGGTCAAGATTGCAGGCGATGTCCTCCAAAATTTTACGCTTGGTCGCACAAGCCCGCCCCTCCGTTCGCATCCCAGCAAGCACGCCTCCGTTCATGGTCGTAGTCGGCTGCAGTCTTCCACCTTATTAACCCTTATACATTCACCTACTCACAATCAAACAGTGACCATTAATTTTGCACATTGTACTTTCCTTCCTATGAGTAGGTTAAAAGGATTAAAATATACTCCTTTCTTTTAACATAAGAAGTGTGACAAAGGCCATTTATATCACAAATTGAATTCACTCTCCGATGAGAAAACGATGGGCGAAACATGCTATTTCTTCAGTTGCCTTTATTGTGCGGGATTCGGAACTTCCGCTGATTTTGTTGTGAGACATTTCCTTGTAATAAAATATTCACTGATCTGTGTATAAAATGACGAAGCATCGCAGTACTTATTTCGTTCCTTTTTGTGGTATCGTGAGCTCAAATCGATCATGACTTGGCAATACCTTAAACTCTGAGAGTAACGATAGTTTTCGAGTTATCGTGGAATGGAAATGTTTCTCGGGACATACATTGGAGATTTCTGAGAAAGAGGTACAAGTGAACCCCTACATGTTTGAACCTGAGACTGGCACTAGTGACGACGATAACCAGGATGATCCTCATCTTAGAAGCATGGATCACAGGTGTTTGCAGTGTGTGTGTGTGTGTGTGTGTGTGTGTGTGTGTGTGTGTGTGTGCGTGCGTGCGTGCGTGCGTGCGTGCGTGCGTGCGTACGTGTGTGTCTGTCAATTCCTGTTATTATGTATTCAATCATCGTTGTGAATTATTGGGGAATATGTTTGTGAAGTACTGAATTGTTGCAATTAATTGAATCAGTAGGCTAACTTAATGTCGTGAACTACGGATTTTGGAGATTTTGTTAATAAACTAACTGAACAGAAATGGAATTAAAGGCATCGTGTAGTAGTATTTGCATCATATTTAAGTAGGTGTATGGATCCTCGAGGTCATAGTCTGAAGAAAAGGATAACCCATGGAGCATTTACTGTATGTCCATGAAAGTTGATACATGTCATCCATAGAGCGGTTCATCTTCCCAAGGCAAGAGACTTAACTGACTTTAAATGTCCAGTTTCCACCCTTGCCGAACTAGACTGGAATTCCTGGGCTCGATTGTAGCGCCACCAGTGGCTATTTCGTGTTATGTCCCTTCTATGTCCCTTCTATACCTCTCCTATTGACTAATCAGATTCCACCCCTCGTATCACTTGCATTTGCTGCAAACAAAATGGCGGCGCCCAGTCAAGACGATCTGATTGATTATCAAGATCTATAATTTATTGTGATAAACTATGCATAGACTCGTTAGTCCAGCCAAAGTCGAACTCCATAATACCAGCCTAGTTCGACAAGGGTGGAAACTGGACCTAAGTTAACTCCCTTGCCTTGGAGGGTTGGGAGCGGGTATGCAAACTCGAAAGTTGTAGGCGTAGGCCAAGATCACACTGAAGGTCATTCGTAAAGTAAGATTTCACTAAAGTTACAATTCAGATATTAAGGAAGAGGATTTATGGATGTCAGCTTCTTAATTGTGAGGAACACAACGTTTCGGGGTATATGCTTACTGCTTCATCAGGTCAATGATTCCTGATGAAGGAGTAAGCATATACTCCGAAAAGTTGTGTTCCTCATTATAAAGAAGTTGACATCCGTAAATTACATTTAATACAGAAGTGATGCAATTAAACCGAAAGTATCCTATACACTAAAAGCCAGAGGCACAGGACTAGTTAAGTGTACTGCATTAGATACCATTAGAAATTAGAGATGATATTGGTGAGTCAAACTGGTTCATGACACAAGGTGGGATCTTTTTGGGCATTCATGAATAGGAAAAGGTGGGGATGAAGAAGCCTGTTCCTGCATGTCAAGCCAATAGTAATGCGGTAGTAATACTGTTACAGTGTAGCACCTTAATCTGAATATCAGGAATTAAGATTTATCTTGTGACTCACTGTGGCATCTTCCGTCATCTATAACCAATTTGTTTGCACTATATTTGTATGTCTCATGCAAGATCTCCTGTGGGTATTTGGGGTTTAATATAGGTCGTAAGAGGCGAACTGATGGATTGGGTGGTCAGGCTCGGTGACTGTTGATTGTGTACCATCCGACCCCGACGGCGTGGATCGTTGTTCATAATAACAATCACTGGTTTGTCTGGCCCAGACTAGGATAAGTACCGGCCTCCGTCATATTTCGACAAATATTAAAAGTCATTATTGAAGTTTTAATAGAATAGAGATATGGCTATTGATTTGGGATTATTGGTATCGGAATATCATTGAGTCAAATGACACTTTAAGTCAGAACTACTTTCAATCTTGCTCAATGAAGACTTCACGCACGCATGCACGCATGCATGCACGCACGCACACACATCTCAAGGTATTAGATCGATGTTTTCATCTATTTTGAAAGCTGATATCAGGGAGTCGGCAATTATCCCCAGTTGTAAGTTTAACAAGCCTTGGCTGTACTTTGAGCCCATGACACGGGTGGAGGCGTGTTGCATAATGGTTTAAAAATACCTTCAAATCACATTTTCTGTCTTTTCTTGTTTTCATTTAGTAAGTATGATGCTCTCGTTGTTGGCAAAAAGATACTTAGGTACATTAGATATTCAGTTTGCGGGGTTTAATGTTTAACGTTACAAAAAAAATACACTTGGCACAAATACACACAAAATTCAAGTCATTCATACACCTTATATTTCGGTTTTCAACTGTGCAGTTTTGATATATTGTGTACTGCAAAATAGTTATAATTCGCATTAAATAAAAGAAATAATAAAGAAAAATAAATTCAGTGATCTTTAATGCCCAAGTATTCTCTTTTGCGCTGTGCAATAAGAACTCAATCAAGCTACAAAAAGCGATGTGCGCGTGTCTGACCGCTGTTTATAACCCTGCTAATTAATATTGTACAAACATATGATCCTCACCTCGACATTGTAGTGGGTGGTTATGTGTACACGCCGTCGTCAGCAGGGGACACCCAAAAGGGGGCTGTTCACGAGTTACCCATTTAAGAACTCGAACCCAAGTATTTGAGCATAATGTTTTTACAACTAGGATTCCCAAGCACCAACCAAGTAGAATATGTCGTGAGTTGAAGGGAGTTAGTATACTACATACATGTAAACTCACACAGAAGTGGAGGAACGTGTGTATGGCGGGGGTGTGCAGTCGTCAGCTAGAAGTCATCTGGACAAGCACACATAGACAATTTGATAATAAATGTCAGGGTCTTAATGGTATTCATAATGTTTGCTAGCCAAGGGAAGTGCTTGTGCGTGTTTGGCGTCGTACTCATTCGACTCTTGTAAAATACGTCAAACAGAATGCCAAAAAATGCATCGTTTCAATCGTTTTAAAATATGATCAAATATCGATAGGGTTAAATTGTTCGGTTCATTTCCAACATAGTGCCTGTGTTACACCCTTTGATTGTTGATGTGGAGTGGTCATCCCGTTCAAGCGTGTGGAATATAAGGGAAACTCTTTCTGTCGTAGGGCAGTTTTGAATTCGTATACTTTACAAATCAGACGGACTATTTACCAAATGTTTCAGCGATCACTATTCGAATACATCACCAACAGAAACGCATTGAATTTTCTCAGAAAATAAGGTTTGCAGCTACATCCCGAAAGAGAATGTCATGTGTGTCCTGGGAAGTGTGAGTTCCCACTTCACTGCTATCCTCTGCACAGTTCTGTGAACAGTCCTACCCCTGAGAACAGCATTATGACACTGGCGGACACCTCAAACCAGAAGGCCCAGTAGAGACCGCTGGAGTCGTTGAAAGCCACGTAGATGACAGCACCCAGCACCACAAGTATGCCTACAACAGACGTCAATATATAACGTTCACGTATAACCTGTATAGATTATCCGCCGAAACAGATTCCGTTTGGCGCAAAGGGAAAGTAACGATTCAAATTATATGAGTGAGTGAGTGAGATGGGTTTAACGCCGCTTTTAACAGTATTCGTTATATCACGGCGAGTCAGCTTAATGTTGGAGGAAAGCACGAAGTGATGCAGGTCTCAAACGTTTACCACTTCGGTGAAACCCACGAGCGCGGGTATTGCGCTGACAAACCTAGAAACATAATCGGGTCGAACCGGGATTCGAACCCACAATCATAGGCTTCTGGTGTGTCCAAGGGACGCAACTCTGCGCAGCGAATCGCGGCGCCTTAGACGACTGGGCCACCCGTGCCCCCTCAAAGTATATGAATGGATCGCTGAAAATCAGTGATGACTCCGGGTGTTTGCGAGTGATGGGTACCGGAAACACCCACCGCTCACACAATTTGCATAACGTTTTCATGTTGACAAACCATTATCAGGTTTCGAATAAAAAGATAATAGGATTTTTGCACCCCTAAAGGGCGCAAATCTGCATGGACAGCGATGGAAGATGGTTTTGAAGAAATGATCACGTGTCTGTTATCTCTGTGAGTGTAAGTCTAATTAGAAATGAGCTTTAAATCATCAATTCAATATGTTTTCTTTGAGCTCAAGGGTCGCACAGTTTGTGTTCGTTTGTTATGTCCGAAACATTAAAATGAAATACTCACGAATGAGACGTTTTAAAAACTTGGAGAGTCTTCATAATTATTCATATCTTACAATAACAGGAACGAGGACACAGAGCTTACTGGGAGCGATAAATCTATGAATTTTCACTGGTTTGTGAGTTCTTTGTACGTTGAATCAGCTGTACATCGCCACATTATTGGAAACCATCTATCACTGGAATTTTATTTTTTTTCCACTCACCAGCTCCTATTGCCGACAAGGCTGCAATGGTCAGAAGACTCTTGTTACCGGTACGAAGATGCACGATGGAAGTGATAATTCCAAATAAGGCAATGATAACTCCCAGGACAGCCATTGCTTGCACTGCCCGCAGCCATTCTGCAACCCAAGGTGTCGGGGTGAATATACTTCGGAGATGCAGTGTTCAAACAAGAAAAGACAGGATAAAAATATTAAAAAGGATGAGCAAGCGAGTTAACTCGAGGTTGCGACGACATATTGCTTGTTAGATGATAAACGACATATATACGACATGTAAAATATAACCCAGGTATAGCGTTTGTAGATTATATCAATATTTAATAGTGAGTGAGTGAGTTGGGTTTAACGCCGCTTTTAACAGTATTCCAGTTATATCACGGCGTGTCAGCTTAATGTGGAAGGAAAGCCCGAAGTGATGCAGGTCTCAGACGTTTACCACTTCGGTGAAACCCACGAGCACGGGTTTGGTGCTGACAAACCTAGAAACATAATCGGCGCGAACCGGGATTCGAACCCACAATCATAGGTTTCTGGCGTGTCCGAGGGACGCAACTCTGCACAGCGAATCGCGGCGCCTTAGACGACTGGGCCACCCGTGCCTCCTCAATATTTAATAATACAATCTGGACGCTATTGATAGCAATATTGTGTTGATCTCCTATCTCTCAAACGTTATCGGTGACGCGCTCCGTTTCAAAGCACTGTATCAATCTAAGATAACACAAATCAAGGACGACAGGTTGACACGGTGTTAATGTGTGCTTTGACATCTTCTACAAGGACGTGTTATCATTAATACCCAAACTCTTAATGTCCATTGTCCCAATATACAGTCAAGTCCCGTTAATCCCACAGCGATGGTTGCATATGATTACGTCGTATTTACGAGTAATCGAAAATCGGACAACTATAAGATAGATAACAATACGGACACGTAATAAAAAATGAAAAATGAAATATTGTATACGAGAATTACGACTTAGTATCAGCTCAATGTCGAATTCATCGCCTTGTAAGGGATTAATGTCTCAGAACAATCATGAACATGTGCACAGAGTGTTGATAGTCCTGTCATTATTTATTTTTTGAAACATCAAAAACATGACACTATCAACTTCACTCGTTCTTCGAAATCACGCGGGGCGGCGGGGTAGCCTAGTGGTTAAAGCGTTCGCTAATCAAGCCGAAGGCCCAGTTTCGATTCACCACATGGGTACAATGTGTGAAGCCCATTCCTGGTGTCCCCAGCCGTGATATTGCTGGAATATTACTGGAATATTGCTAAAAGCGGCGTAAAATGCAACTCACTCACTCGAAATCACGCAGAGGAGATATGACGGTCGTAACACTACTCACGCCATGTATCTATCATATTTTCGTCGTAGAAAGAGGTACATTTTCCCTTATAGCAGTCTTTCCAGATGCCCGAGTGGAAACCTTCATCCCGACTCCAATATGGCGATGCTGTCCCTGCTATGTGGAGACACTGGGCCAGGATAAAAGTTAGCGATCCTAACCTCCCCCCTGGGGTGGCTGGTATGGACATGCTTCTATAATAGGCATACATGTCTAAATGGTTCTTAATCTCACAGTTGTAGGGCTGGAATGACCTGACAATCAAAGATGGATTGACTTTCCCTTGAGTGAATACATTCAGTCCTTGAGGGTAAGTGACTTAATCCTCGGCTGCTGCTGTAAGGGGGAGTGATCAGTGTCCACTGACAGTTTCATTAGATAACCCAGCTTATGTCACATCCTGTTGAATCACCTGTAGATGACTCCTTGTTGCTGTGTGCATCGGGGGCCTGTACTACTTTGACTCAGAACTTAATAATGTCTGTGTCTGGGTCACACTTGTCTCATGCAAAGAACCATCCCAGGTGAAGGAAACGATATACAATCCTGCGTCTGTTTTGCTACTGTTCTTGGTATGACAAAATGTATTATATCCAGTTAGTGCACTGTGGACTCTGGGAATAGTGATATCAGTTTGGAATGTGAGTAGTACTGATAACATGATGATGTTTCTCGCTCGTTGAGGGTCCTCAACAGATGAGTGAGTGAGTCGGGTTAAGTCTCTTTGAACATTCATGTATATCAGATACATCGCGGGGTCACATGATGTCATAGCACACGCATACCATCACACATATATACGCGAACACGCACGCACACACGCACACACGCACGCACACACGCACACACGCACGCACACACGCACGCACGCAAGCACACACGCACGCACACACGCACGCACAGGCACCCACGCCCAACCCCCAACACATTCATAAATTGTTACAGGAATGATGAGTGCGTGGTTTAAATGCATATGAATGTACATATATTACTGTCATGAGGTAGAAGTGTGTTTCAGGTATTATGATTCGGTGTTGTAAATAATTAGTATTTTCCCTTCACGAGCGCCAGGACGTATCTGTTAAACAGTATAATTTTGGCCACTTAATTAAAGCACTTATTCTCCTCACAAACTGGTGGTAATATATGATACAAATTGTGACAGATGTTACTACGCCTTCTGTGGTTATTTCAAAACATACGCGATACCGGGATGATATAGGATTCAAAAGTGTACGCATCGTGTGTACAATTCAATCCGATAGTGTAATGTAATATATTCACATAGTTTAAGTAGTTCCTTCCAATGTGTTACACGTCCCATGTATTAAACATCCCAATTTGTTATACAGAGGAGCATTGATTAGCTGAGGCCACGCCTACTTCTGGATCATTTGTTTGTGTAGGACCGCCTCCGTGGTCTAGTGGTAGAGCGTCCGCCCGGAGAGCGGAAGGTCCAGGGTTCGATCCCCGACCGCGTCATACCAAAAGACGTTAAAAGATGGTACTTGTTGTTACCCTGTCTGGCGCTCGGCATTAAAGGGCTAAAACAAGGACTTGTCGGCTCGGAGTCAGTATACTGTGTCTGAGTTGGGTATTCATGTTAAACTGCGACATGGTATCTCAGTGAGCTAGCACTATAAATCGGCATCAGTCCGGACTAGTACAAGCAGCCACACAAACACACACACGTACACCATGCACGTCGCTATATAAGTGCAATAATCTTGAACGCGACGTTAAACCCCATTTCACCTCATCTCACCTTGTTTGTGTAGCGTTATAATGAGGGGCAAACCAATCCAAGGACAACATGTACTCTCCACTGACTATAGTACAGTGAAACGACGTTATTCCAGTCACCACCGTTCCCAGTGAAAACTTTAACAAATTCCGAAATTGAAGATTTTTTGGCACGGTGTTATTTCTGTGTAAATAGTCGTTCCAAACATCAATCGTTCGAAATGCAGGGTTTCCGACCTAACGGGGTGTCTCTGTAAACAAAATGTACTGCCTTCTCAGATTGCAAAAATATGCAAATTGCAACACCCAATGTATACCTCCTAAATGGAAGCCTACATGAAAGTGTCTTAGTACACAACAGCTCGACGTTCGTTCAGATAATGTTAATCTCACACTACATGTGTGCGCGTCTACGTCTAGTCATGTGTTGTCTCCCTGACATAAAAGCTACATTGTTTCTGCTGTTTATCAAGCTAATCTTTGGGTGTGTGTGTGTGTGTGGGGGGGGGGGGGGGGGGGGGGGTAACATCGCACATAGCAATATTCCAGTTGTATGACAGCAGCCTGTATATAATCGATTCTGGACCGGACAATCCAGTGATTGGCATTATGACCAACGATCCATTAATCGGTACGTTGACACGGTATACCTATGCCATTAGCTGGACCACCCGATCGCTTCTGGCAACAAGCATTTGTAGCTGTGGACCACATGGTACCCGGTGTCTATCTACACGTGGGTGGAAGTCTGCACGAATGTGTATCGGTGAAATATACCTACGTTCATTCAGTTCCTTGCCTTCTGAGAGAGGGGAGCATCCGGAGATATCCGAGCATGTCTTCCAGATGCCGGTATGTGTCCCAGAAAGCGATGTCCAGTACGGGGCCACGACGGCCACTATATGGAAAGCCGTCCCCAAGACTATAACCCACACAAGAACTCGTGCACGTGCAGAAGGCGTGGGTATTATATAATCATACCCAAGCATGGCTCAGAAAAGTTCAACGATACGGAAGATTATTTCACTGTTATGTATGATGTGTTTGAAACCTGATGAACGGTAGTGTATTCTGAGGGGACCCTTGTCTCCAAATCCATGCATGTCCAGGGTAACAGCTATGTATTTTTAGCTGAATATTTTTAATTGTCTGAGCTCATTAAAAATTGAGCTGGGATCCACCTCTTAATATCACAAGTTGACGTCGCGCAAAGAGAGTCGGGAACCAGGTTGATTGAAAAAACGCCGAAGTTCTGGAGACGGCGACTTGACCAGTTTTGAATGCACGATTGAAAGGGATCGCTTTATCGCCTTGTTGAGGGGTCATAACGATTGTTCTTGGGGAGCAACTTGTCCACACTTGACAAGTTTGGGAGATAGGAGACGTCTTCACTGGTGGTTACACTCGTGTAACACGCCATGCTTAAATCTAGAAAGTTTTTTCTTTGTTTAACGCGCCCTCGGCAATATTCCATCTTATGACAGCTGTCTGTGAATAATCGAGTGAGGGCCAGACAATCCAGTGATTGACATCATGAAAATCGATCCTCGCAATTGGGATAGTATAGCATGCATCAACCAATGATTGAGGTAATCTAGGCATGTGTTTTATCCTGTTTTGTGTATTTAAAACTTTACTTGTTTATTGTTAAGCAAGTTTATCTTTGCAGCCATTGAAATATGCAGCTACTCGCCGACTCGTCTTGCATCAAAACATGGGTGTGTGTACTCGCGGGCAGATGACCACGGAGTACGCTGATCACAGTGTCGGATTAACGAGACTGATTAATGAGTGATTTCAGCATTTCGTTGCAAATTAGGTGTGTCGGAGTCGGAGTTGCGAGACTGTCGGATTAACGGGTCTAAATAACACTGATTAAATCGGTTCCAATCATTTGTGTCGGATAAAGCCGATTGTCGAATAAACGAGTGTCGGATTAACGAGACTTGACTGTATGTACTTATTTTGCAAGTTAAACAGTTAAACAGATCTGTCCCTTGATTCTTTGTTGTTTAAATGAAACAATACGTAAATACTGATCTAAAATTAACAACTAAAGATGCAGGAAAAAACGAAGTATTTTCTTTTTGCAAATAATCAGTGAATTCAACTATATGTATGTATGTATGTATGTATGTATGTATGTATGTATGTATGTATGTATGTATGTATGTATGTATGTATGTATGTATGTATGTATGTATGTATGTATGTATGTATGCAATAATAATAATAAAAATAATCATAATCATAATCGACCCGTGAATATTCCGGGGTAAAATAGGTCTTCAGCAACCCATGCTTGCCGTAAAAGGCGACTATGCTTGTCGTAAAAGGCGAGTGGTCAGGCTCGCTGACTTGGTTGATACATGTCATCGATCCCAATTGCGTGGATCGATGCTCATGATATCAATCACTGGATTGTCTGGTCTGGACTCGATTATTTACAGATCACCGTCATATAGCTGGAATATTGCTGAGTGCGGCGTTAAACAACAAACCAACCAACCATAATCATAATCATAATCATGGAAAATGATAAATACAAAATTCGTTGGAATAGGCCCGTATACAGCCTCAGACGATCCAGGCCAACAAACCTGATCTTGTTCTTTTTGATAAATCCAATGAAATCATTTATATTATTGAATTTTCTGTCCCTTTTGACACCAGTTTGATTGACAAGATTCAGGAAAAAGATGGCAAATGTGCAGACTTCGCGTTCGAAATGTCACGCCTGCATCCCAAGTACCAAGTTGTCCGATTCCCCATTGATCTCGGTGCCTTAGGTTTGGTACCTCCCAATATGTTGACTGACATTGGGAGAGTACCCGGGTTTGCTGTCAGGAATACAGCCCTTCTTACAATCTGAGTAATGCAGAAGGCTGCAGTGTTGGGGAGTCTTCACATTCTCCGAAAGGTTCTGGGTGGGTTCGACTAGGCAGCGCTTTCTGGGAGTAGTCCCGTTCGCTGTCTGGGCTGCGTGTAGAGGGGGCTAGGGCCCTGAGCTGATGATGAGCATAACCAGCCTGACTGCAAGGATCACCCAAACCCTCTTTGCTGCATTTTTTATTTTAATCTGTACATAATAATCACAATAATAATCATAATCATATATTTATCTCTACCTGGGGCCTGGAGAAAGCTGTGTCTATCTGCCCCATATCAGATTCATATAAACAGCGCATTCTTCGGGCAACGCGTATTATTGTTAGCTCTAGACGTACAATTTCTAGTTACAAATTACTAAACTATCAACATTCTATCACTGCATGGTTTGTCCATGGTTTGTGTTTGTAATGCTGGGTATGTGGAGGACGAGTTTCATTTTTTGTTAGTTTGCTCCGGTTATAACAAGATACGCATGGATCACTTACCACAGACATTTTATGAATATCCGACCATACAAAAATTTAATATCATTATGTCTACAACTGATTGTAAATTAATTGAACGTCTAGCTATCTATATCTATCAAGCGATGTCACTTCGTAGTACATTATTGTCACAACAATAACAGCTGTGTACATCACGTTCATTGTAATACAAATGTAACTATGGGCCGATGGCCTACACTTACGAAATAAACCGAATTGAATTGAATATCACTGCATGGTTTGTCCAGTCCAGAATCATTTATTTACAGGCCTCCGTTTCATTGCAATAATATAAAACATACATTATTTTGAATGTCGCATACTTTTACAGAATGCATCGGTATTTAAGTTGCACTAGCAGAAGTACGAAACTGCTTCTGAAATATCTGTGTACGAGTAAGTTAGATAATAACTCAACATGGCTTGGGTCAGTCAAAGAATAAATGTACTTGATTATCATTATGTACCGGTCAGCAGTTATTACACTGGTCAGCAGTTATTACACCGGTCAGCAGTTATTACACCGGTCAACAGTTATTGCACTGGTCAGCAGTTATTAAACCGGTCAGCAGTTATTACACCGTCTTGTGCAAACATCACTTGAAGATAGGCGCTTTTTAACAATGTTATGAGTATTGTACGTGACCTGAAATCGTTTGAAATAAAAGAATCGGTTGGATAATGTCCTAGCTATGCTTGCATGGCTAACCTCAGTTTTCAATACACACCCGCTGAGTTTCAACTAGTTCATATCGTCGCCTGAGAACCAAATTGTCCTATGTCCACATTTGACAAAAAATTATTTTTTTTACATTTTCTTTCCAAATGGGTGGTTTTTTTTAACATGGTTGTAAATTTCATGAAGCCCCAGTTGATGGAAAGTAGTTTTTCAAGACGCCTGTGTCCAAAAACTCATAAGTGGCATCGAACCTGAATGTTCTATGTCCATGTCCAATCAAATTCTTAAAATATGTTACATGGAGATAGGACCACATAGTTACATTGATTTGGAGATAGGACCATTTGGTTATCATTTCTGAACTGTAGAATGTGAACATTAGAGGTGAACTTTGTGAACTGTCAGCTGAAATACTGGATAAAAAGTTGATGTCTTCATTAGAATAAGCTGTCAGAAGTATGCGATTTCTCCTTTGGGTGAAAACTGTGGTCCAGAATAATGAGAATACGCCACTTCGATTTACTAATAGAGATAGAACGGTATGGATCTGAAAGCAAATGTCTTAACTTCTTTGGTACATAAAACATAACACTTATCTGTAAATGAGAAGATGGATAATCACTTTTGCTTTAAATGTATTTGTATTTGTTTGTTTTATGTAAAATAGATGCATATTGTTTTGTAAGTTAATATTATGTAGCACTCTTAAAATATTGTTTACTCAAAACTTGTAAAAGTGGAGTTTGACATAATGGTTCTCAGGCGTCGAAATTGAGTTAATCAGGGAGTGACCATTGCACAGAATGTGGGCACGGTAAAGCATAAACTAGTTCCACTCTCAATAGGCGGAACAAGTAATGCGTCGTAAAGGACTTGTTTAGACAGGCGCCCAGTCAGTTTTATTCAATGATCGCTCCCTTATACCCATAATGCACAGGAGTTCCTGTAACAACTTGCATTGTCATTTACTGTAAGTGTTGTTGATGTTTGTTGATAATTAGACTTGCATCTGGTACAAACGCAGTTGATATTCACCTCTACTGGTCACATTCATTCATTTTGTATGGTATTTAAAAAATCGGTTGAATATTAACAGTTTTTCCCCCTTAAAGTGGCCATTATTTTACTTTTCGCTGATTCCTTCTGTTTTCGCTCACGTTATTCCCATGCTTCTGAACCCATATGAGAAAATACCTCCTTCGTTATAGTAATACATTTGAACGTACAGTAGTGCACATAACTAGACACTTTTCACCAATTGGGGGTAATGATCATATCGGCGTATAATCACGATAATCAGCAAATACGACTAAAAGGTCTTTTGGAGGATAGGTATTGTAACTAGCGAGTGCTGTGTGTCCTGTTAGGCTAGTTATTAGTTGAGTACATAGACTATATGAACAATATGAGGTTACCACGCACTGACATTTTTTGATACAAAAAAGACTCTGCAGCATTTTCAGAGCATCATTTAACCCATCTCACTCATTGACACTGAGACATACAACATACATGGCTTATTACATTATTATCACAATTGGAAATAACAGTGTATTTGGTTGAGTATGTTCAAGAAGAGCCATGTGAACATGATTAATCATAGGATAATGAACTGATTATAGATAATATATGTATGTTAAACAGGATAAATCTTCTCACAGCACATTGTAAATAACATTGAAAAAAGTGATAACGACTTGGTATGGTCATGATACAGTATGGTAGTAAAAGTAAATCATGTAAGTAGGACTGCATAAATTTCCTTTATCTCTGACAGATGGAACATCATAATCAAATTATGATATCTAATTTGAATACTTTCCACACATGTTCAACTTTTGTGCATTTGCAGCACCAATGGCAAAGAAAGAAATATCATCTACCATGTTTACCAAGTTTACATGTACAACAAATCTTTTTCAGAGGCTTCGTTGCATTATCTAACCATCCTAAAACACAAATATTTTTCACTTTGGGGATTATCTACCTTCTTGATCATGTTGATGATTCAAATGAATTAATGTGAATAATAATTATCCTTGACTATTATTTAGTTTATAATATAGCAGTAACACATACCTACCATGCTTCCAGTACACAGATAGAGGGAGTAACTGATTATTTTTTATTTTATAACACTGTTAACAGTCACAGGCATGAGGTTAGCTTGGTTTGATAGCAACACAAACATTTAGTTTTTTTAAGAAAACATAATTTCCAGTCTGTCATCAGGGACCATAGCCCTCATTTATAAAACGGACAGACTCAATTCAGAATTTAGGCATCAAGGCCCAAAGTATAATGCAGATTGGATATTAACATTTGTCAGGTGATGTACATGATTAGATTTTAAATCAAGTTACACATTCCTCATTATAAAGACATGTTTTAAGAATACAGAAACAGCATGGATCATATCAGGATTTTCAGAGTTTAGCAGATTTGTCATTAACTGAAAATACCTCTTTAAAAATACCTTGCAACATGGGGAGAAATTTATACCTTAAATGGGAATGTGTTTCACATATGAGGAAGACATGGTATTTACCCTCTACTTCTCCGGATGAACAGTTTGTACAAATAGAGCTCACAATATCACCGTCTCTGGACCTGCAACATACATTTAAATTTGAATTGTGCAATGAAATTCTAAGTTTGCAATAAGCTCTGATGAAAATATCTTTCAGTTTGTAACATTTATAAAACTGCAGCAATTGTGACAAATAAATTAATACATAAATTTACTGCAGGCCATAAGGACTCATACACATTTAAAACTACGGGCCCATCATGATGTCTACCTGCCACAGGCCTACAAGCAGGCACTTGTGTCAAACGCTGCATACGTTGATTCATTTATTGTGCATATTATTTATTTTTTTTGGTAATAATTTTTTTATTCAGGGTTCAGGATACATTGTACACGATATAATGCTTATTAATACATTAACTGTTTGCACATCATTTGTAGTGTGAGATTGATATTACTAGTGATCATGGTGATAATAAATGATTTAATACATAATATATATGTATTACATGATGGAATCCCCTTTTTTTATCATAAAAACAACAGCCATTCACACTTCTCATACAAACACCATTTACACGCTTTCACACAGGGACGCCACAAGCACTCTCATACACACACACACATTATATTCTCAAAGAGAGATCTCAAATCTCAAATCAGTGGTTTCAATTGAATAATACGGAAATGTAGACACTAACACATGTGCATACCATAATATACGCATGTACACAAGCATATATATATACATGTATATATATATATATATATAAACACATACACATACATATCCTAAAATTCAAAAAGGATATGGTACATCATCCAGTCTTTGTTAAATTCCAAGTGCATATTATTTTGATGTTTTTCTTTTGTGTGTTTCAGGCTTAACCAGTAACTCTAGAATAATGGATCGCTTATTAAGACTGGGTGGTGGTATGCCGGGGCTTGGTCAAGTAAGTATAAAGAGAACCTTTTGATTATTGTTGTCTGGGCTAAATGTTTTCTGTGTTCACAGGGACTTTTACCATGTTTACCATCAGGTTATCAGAAATCTCCACTGCCCTGAGATCATATTAGCATTTATTATTTTGATCTTCCTCATGAGTGGTAGCTTTGAAGTTGTCCCAACCCCAGCAATAATCGCATGCTTAGTCACAGTGCACAATACTTGTGTGACATCAAATCAGGAAACCTGTCTCTCTAAATGATTTTGTTTTGTAAACATTCAGTACATGTATCACTAAAGTAAAATGATTATGTTTATCATTTTGTCATATTTTATGATATAAACATGATAATTGTACTCATGTCCTAAAGTTGGATAACCATTCCTATAGACCCCTTTATTCTGGAAGGCTAATTGGTGAACCAAGTGAACTCCTACCCCATGCATGCCATAGTCTCAACAGTATTCAAAATCTTAATATGCTGTCAGCTTCCCTGGACCAACACTGGCACTAGTGACAGTGTCAAGCTCTACTACACAGTGTACTGCTGGGTAGCTTCAGACTTATTGAGTTATGTCAGGATGTTTTCAAACTCTAATCAGTTGTTTATTCTTAAGGATTAAGACTGACTTTGTAACATGTTTTCAAAATTAATAGGAATCATTGAGTCTTTGATGTTTTCTGCTAAAATGATGGCTATCTTAGTTTACGACACTGGTAGCAGTATCCACATCTACAGGGCTAAGAATTAACAGAAGCCCATTAGGCCCAGGGCTAGTACAAATTTCCAAATTTTCCCATTGTTTTATCATTACAAGGGTCATTTTATCTTTACCCGGGCTAGTTAATATGGTAAAGCATTTGCGTTAAGTTCTAACCCTGCATCTAGGATACCCATGATGATTGTACTCATGAATTGAAGAACAAAGTGAATGTTGTTTCTTTCATAGGGTGCCACCCCATCAGATGCCCCTGTTGTAGACACGGCTGAACAAGTCTACATATCCTCTTTGGCACTGCTTAAGGTAAGACGGCATATCTTTCTACAATGAGAATGTTGGTCATTCAGGAAAATATTTACATAATTCTCAGTGTATGAATCTGCATTGTTAGAAGGCTATGAAGTCCTTCTGTTCTTATCTTGTGAATTTGTTGTGTTTAACTTATCTGATGTGTGGCATTATTCAGCATTTTGATTTCTCAATGTGCTGTTGTCAGGAATTCAATAATTGCAACTTGTGCAAGTGTACAGTGGTTAAATAGTGATTTCTCTGGTTATTGGCATGAGTTCTAGTCCAATACTAAGGGATGAATTGTAAAGTTTATTCTAATGTGGAGTGTATATATATATATATATATGTTTAATCTGTTTAATTATTAACGATGTGTACTTGTTGTGAAAGGAATTGTGGACTAGCTTGGTCTAGCTCATGTTATCTACACTTTAAGTCTTGTTATTGTTGAAATGCCAAAAAAAACAAATTAACTTGAGGTGTGTTCCTCATAATAAAGAAGTTGACATCCATAAATTCTCTCTGTCAAATTAACTTGTTTGTTCAATTGAGTAACCCATTTTGTTATATACTTCAGTATGAAAGACTGAGTTTTCTGAAGTTGAGAAAAGTAATATTTTCATTGCAGTGAAAGTAGCACTTGATATTTCACTGCAGTGAATATAACACTTGATATTACACTACAGTGAATGTAACACTTTGACAGATCTATTGTCATACAAGAGTTACCTCCCTGCCAAAATGTCTCCCTTTATCGTTCTTGTCTGGCTGGTAGTGATACACAAATTGTTGACTTCCTTTTTACCATGTTTACTTTAGTTCCACATTGACAAGACAAATATTGAAATAATGACAGATGGTCCTTTATGGAGTAAATATCGTTTCTTGTAATTTTGTATTCTCTTGAAAATGTTTTGTAATTGTAATTTTCTCTTTTAACTCGTCAATCAAGAGACTGTTCTGTTTTGTAAAGCACCATTTTTGTTACTTGGTCATTGTGTATTCTTTCGCTTCAAATAGCTTTAAAAAATATTTTCTGTTGAAGTTGATTTTGTATTTAATCATATATTTATGATAAAGCATTTTAGTGACCTCAAATATTTTGTATTCATAGTTTGCAAACTCGAAACTGCTTTTTGAGTCACAATTAGAAGGGGTGGTGAAACATTCCTGCGTAGTTAGGGTGAATTTTCATTATAAGGTTTTACTTTTGGAATCAAAAAATTAATTTTCTGGAAGACGATAAACAAAATATTATTGCAGGGTGGGGGTGGGTGGGGGGGGGGGGGGGGGGGGGGGGGGGGGGAGTCGTTTCTGGAGCACAACTTAAAGGCTGTGAAAGACTTTTCATCCAAACCTGGTACATGTATTAACCAAGGGCTGAAATTGAATGTTTAGGAATGTTTCTTTTTTTAATTTTTCTCTCTTTCCATGGAAACAAGTTTGACTTGTTTGAAACGGAGGTAGGTGTCGTTGCCGGAGAAGAACTGTTACATGTATTAATTAGTGGCTGAAGTGGTCCCTTGTGCTATTTAGGAATTATTTGGGTTTTGGGGTGTGTTTTTCCTGTTTCCATGGCAACAATATTGCCTTTGACTGTTCATAGTGGTGTGTTTCAACTTTGTCTGGACCATATCTGTTAAACTAATAGGTATTCTTTCATGAAACTTTGCACGCAAAAAGAGTAGGTTGTCAACAGGTGTCTTTTACTATTCAGGGATTTAAAAAAATAATTTTTTTACTGTTTCCATGGCAATAGGTTTGATTTTGACTCTGTTCATAGTGGTGTGTACCTGACAAAGACATACATTGTTCCGAATCCCAATTCCATGGGAATTGTTCTGATAGCTCAATGACTACTCTTGTATACAGACAGACAGATTAGATAGAAAGTCTCTCTTTTACACACTTTGTGTCCACTGACAAGGATAACTTGACCTATCATCTTCAACATGTTTAAGATAGATATGATTTTGCAGAAAAGAAAACATCATCTGTGATTAATAAACAGTGAATAGTTCTATCTTGTCCATGCATCAAACAAAATTGTAAATTACAATTCCATATCTTATATCTCTATTCAGATGCTGAAGCATGGACGAGCTGGTGTACCAATGGAGGTTATGGGTCTCATGTTGGGGGAGTTTGTGGATGACTACACTGTCAGGGTCATCGATGTGTTTGCCATGCCACAGTCAGGAACAGTGAGTATCAACAAGTCCTTCAGGTTGTGGTCAATCATCAGTAAAAAGGGCCTGTTTATTAGCATGGTTAGAAATGAGTCACCAATTGCTTTGAGCTTGTGTTTCAATAAGTCCATGCAAATACAATGTTCATTCTGATGATACATTAAGTTTAGGTGACTCTATTCATTGTAATGGATGCTACTAATTGATAAGACTTTAAGGACTAAAGCTTGTCTTTCCTTACCTCAGGGTGTGAGTGTAGAGGCAGTAGATCCAGTGTTCCAGGCCAAGATGTTGGATATGTTGAAACAGACAGGGAGGTGAGTTTGGGCATAATGCAAAAAGCTTTTTGATGACGTTTCCTGGTTGCTGTAACTAACAATGAGTTGGTGCGATCTGCTTATCAGTTCACACGATTTTGCTGAAATTAATGTAAATAATATGGAATGAAGTTTTGAATAAAATGATTAGGTAGATACGAAATGAACTAGTGTATTAGCAGGATTTAATTGCATACTTCAATACAGATTTGTTGACATTGTATTTCCAGTGTTACATACACTAGGTAATGTCTTTGCATTGGGGAAAAACATCAAAAGTCGATGTTGGCATGTATTATGCACACACCCTCTACTCAGCCATATGTTTTGGAAAGAAATGTGCACTATGCTCAAGAAAATGGGGGAATAGAGTTTTTAACCTAAAGCCAAGAGTGTCATCTATTGCTTAATTATTCCCTAATGTTCTAGAGTGATGTCATATTCATAACAGTGTAGGTGTTTTCTTATGATATAAATTGACCTGTTCATATTCTACCAGACCCGTGAAGATCAAGGGTAGAATAGGTCTTCAGCAACCCATGCTTGCCGTAAAAGGCGACTATGCTTGTCGTAAGAAGCGACTAAACGGGATCGGGTGGTCAGGCTTGCTGACTTGGTTGGTACATGTCATCGTATACCAATTGCATGGATCGATGCTCATGATATCAATCACTGGATTGACTTGTCCAGACTAGATTATTTAAAGACTGCCGTCATATATCTGGAATATTGCTGAGTGCGACGTTAAACAACAAATAAACAAACAAAAACAAACATATTCTACCATGATTTGAGAGATCATTTGAAAGCTCACTGACACTTTGGTTTCAGCTTGGAATGTAATGTCAAAGAGTATTTTGTCTTTGTATTTGACAGACCTGAGATGGTGGTTGGATGGTATCACTCCCATCCTGGCTTCGGCTGTTGGTTGTCAGGTGTCGACATCAACACACAACAGAGTTTTGAGGCTCTGTCCGAGAGAGCTGTTGCAGTTGTTGTAGACCCCATACAGAGTGTGAAGGGCAAGGTCAGTGGGTTCAGTCTGCTACCAGGCAAACTGTTGATTCTTTGTTTTCTTTGAACCTTTGCAGATTTTAAAAACATGATGAGGTGACGTCAAATTTCATTACTTGTCATTTATTATGATCCAGTATGTCAGCATTTGCAAAGGCCAAGGCCATGACCTTAATGTGAACAGCTACCTGTTTTGAATCCAGTAAATCAACTGAATTGCTTTGATTGGACGACACAATAGATCCGACTCTTATTCATTTGTCTTGAATATCAAGGCAACAGGTCATGATTTTGTCAGATGGTTTACCAACTAGTATTTTAATGTTATCTTGCATTATTAGTCCATTGTGCCAGGGGGCACAGGTGGCCCTGTCATCAATTCGTTGTGCAGAGTTGTGTCCCTTGGGCACCCCAGAAACCTATGATTGTGGGCTCTAATCCCATTTCGCCCCGATTATGTTTCTAGGTTTGTCGGAACCATACACATGCTCGTGGGTTTCACTTCGGGCTTTCCTCCCACAGTAACCTGACACGCCGTGATATAACTGGAATACTGTTCAAAGCAGCATCAAACCCACCTCTCATTGTACACGAATCCTTATGATCCCAGGGACTTTCTATGCTTCTTGTGTAAAATTCTGTCAAATTACCAACCAGGCTATATGCACCAGTGACCGTGGAAGCTGATCTATTTGTATGATATAAGTTGCTTGATTGCAATTTTGCTGTGCATTTAATTGATAATACACACTTCTTGACCTTCCCTTCTTTGGAAATTAAAATGCTAAAATAATGATGTTTTCTAACAGGTTGTCATTGATGCTTTCCGTCTCATCAACCCAAACATGATGGTTCTGGGTCAGGAACCTCGTCAGACTACATCCAATCTCGGCCATCTCAACAAGCCTTCAATACAGGTACAAGAGTACTGGGTGCTGTGAGACAGTTGGCTATGGGTGTCAAACCTACCTGTAGTATTTGTCTTGAACTGGATTGGTTCTTATGTTTGTAGTCATTTACAAGTGGTATGCAATTTTCATGATATTCACCATACAGTCAGTATTCTAACTCACTGCAATATCAAATTGTTTGCGGAATCATCACATGTTATCAGAACGGGAACTGGGCTTGGAAAATGGACAACCTAACAACTTGTGAAAATTCATCAGGGCCAGTTATACAGTTAACTACAGTTATGATGAACTCAAAGGGACCACTAATTGTAGTTCCTTACAACCATAGTTCATTATAAACGTAGTTTACTGTATTTATTTATGCCTGATTAGACAAGAAAACTAATTTGTTTTTTGGAGGATATGAGGGTATCACATTTAAGTTGTCATTGTTAGTATAAACTTTCCTGATTCATGAATGAATATATGAATAGTATTTGTTTTTAGAAACCCTTTGTGGGACTGACTTTAGGCAAAGTGAGATATTGGTGCCCTCGTTGTAGCCAGGACTGGCTTGACAGCACTCAGTTGAATGATTAGTTTGTTCCTGTGGTTGCTCTGCTCAGTAGAAACACACAGAAATCATGTTGTATTTTTGTTTCCTGTTTGAATTTGTGTATGATGTAATAGGAAGATTGTTTTCTCTTAGGCTCTGATCCATGGACTCAATAGACACTACTATTCCATTGCCATCAACTACCGCAAGAATGAACTAGAACAAAAGGTATGTAGTTTTATCTACTGCACCATTCGTGCTATGTATCCATTGTGCTCTATTTATATTCAGAACTACTTTGTGAAGGCCTGATTTCAAAACATATGTAACAAGTCAGTTGAACACAATGTAATCATGTAAGATACATGATGCATGCTTGAGCAATACCAGAAATTAGTTGCCAATTGTCAGAGTTGTATCCAGATACTGTGAATTACCTTTGTGATTAGTCTATGAAAACAGCCAGTTGTTTGACCGTGATGAATTACAAACCTTCAACGAAACTAGGAATGATCATATCTTATTTTGCTGTGTTCAGTCAAGTTGACAAAAAAGTGAGGTCATTTCATAAAAGGGGAGGTCATTTCAAAAGGGTAGCCACAAACTACTTGGTGATCCTTACTCTCAGCATGGCTTGTAAGGGTGCGTTTTCAGAAATATTTACAAATTATCCTGTTATCGAATTTGATTTCTTGAATGCACATTCAACAGACACTGGTTACCTATTTCGGTCAAACAGCAACCAAACAATGAAACCAACCACTCCTCTTGGAAAGAGTGGTCGGTCCAGGACAATGTTTTGCCCATCATGACAACAAGGCTGTAATTAGCTTGCTCTTTCCCTTACTATTTGGTTTGCTGATCATCAAACTCATGAACCGTAGAGTGTGCCTTCGAATGTCCCATCGCAAAATTCGTCAACTTTTGCAATACTTTGTGTCAGTCAAAACTCAATTGCGTCTTTGACATTTGACACTACCACTATTTCTGATTTGTCTGACATACAGAAACAAAGCTTTGCCCATATTGGTTAAGCCAATCATAACATTGTTAGTAAATAAGTCTATCAAACAGCCTGTTTTTCATGTCAGATACTGCAACAAAGTTCCTTACAGTGATATTTCATTCAGTGTAATGAGAGTCTAATGTCTCATGCATTGTGATCGAGCTTGCTTTGTCGCATTGCACACTGCTCACTTCCAAAGACTGGCAAAAGAAGCACATTGACAAATTATAATGTCATAAAGTTATTCATGTTGATGTATATATTTCCTCCATGTTTGAGCCCAATTGCCTCATGTGGGTGAACATGCTTGCGTCATTTTTTAGAAAGATGTGATGTCACCCTATGAAATGAACACTGATTTTGTGCCAATTCTCTCGAGAACCTGTTTCTGCTGAAACACCTGTCAGTATTCCTTGATGACCATGACCACATGATGGATGCTTGTAATTCAGTACATCTTGTTTCACTGGAGCCTGTGTTTTTGTCTGGCTGCAGATGCTGCTGAACCTGCACAAGAAGAGCTGGGTGGACGGCCTCATGCTGCAGGACTACAACACTCACTGTAGCCTCAATGAGAAGACTGTCAAGGAGATGCTGGATCTGGCCAAGAACTACTCTAAGGTTAGATTACTATATTTGCTGTCTAAACTGAGGATCAGGTGGTCACAATGTAGACCTGGTGGATTGTATGCTGTCTTCCCCTGACAATGTAGATTGTTACACATTTTGTCAATCTCTAGTTTGTAGGGTCCAGACTCTGTTATTACAAGCCACTGTGAAAACCTGGATATTGTTTTCTGCTGCTTTGTACCACATTGATTCACTGTACCCATTGACCAATAGCTGATTCAAAAAGTTATTGAAGTGTCTGCAGTATTGATAGCTCTATCTGAGGAGCAATATTTGTGTAAATTCTCACCAAGAGTGATTTTACAATTGTAAGATTTCATTGAGTTCATTGTTTTCATTTCAGGCTTTAGAGGAAGAAGAAAGTATGACACCAGAACAGCTTGCTATAAAAAATGTTGGAAAACAGGTGAATTTTCAATTACACTTCATTAGAGTCCCTGCCTACCAGTTCAACTACCAGTTCTTTTCTTTATTAATAACATTTGGTTATTGTAAAGATATAGTTAATACATCTGTGGTAATATCGAGATCATGTTTTTCTACGGATCACCTCCCTTGATATTATGCATAGGTTGAAGTCATACTTTTTCACGAGTGCAGCAAATATTGTTCATAGGAATATGAAAGTGGTCATGCTGAGCATCTTTCAGTTGTATTTTCTTGTGGCGGTATGCTGCAAGTCTATACCTCAGCAGAATGTTAGAGGTTTCCACGAAATTTAATGTAGCCACCATCGCAGGACTACCATGCTTCTTTCCCCTACAAGCCCTATGATCTGGGAAGGATGTTTATCTGAGGTTAGAGACTGGCATCTTTTCAATGGCCTTCTCCAAAAAATGGCCCGGGAACAAGTGAAATGGTTCCTCGCATCTTTGTGCTCTTTTTTATGCCCCCGACATATAATGCAGGACATATAGTAATCATCTGTCTGTCCATCCATACTTCATTTCCAAAGCATAACTTGAAAACTGTGAAAGATTTTTCATCCAAACTTGATACATGTATTTACCAGTGGTGGATTTTGTGCCTTTTGCTATTTAGGATTTTTTTTAAATTTAGTTTTCCCTATTTCCTTGGAAACAAGTTAGACTCAGCTAAAACGGGTAGGTGTCATTTCTGGAACAGAACTAAAAAAACTATTCAATTTTATTTATGCAACTTGTACATGTATTAATCAGGGGCTGAAGTAGTAGTGCCTTTTGCTATTTAGGAATTTTATACAATTTTATTTTTCCCGTTTCCACGGAAACAAGTTAGACTTACCTGAAACTGTTAGCTCTTGTATACAAACAGACAGATTAGTTGTAATTGTCTCATCAAGTTGGACTTACTGTAACAGTCAGATGATTTGTCCTCTCAAATTTGTGAGGACCAGGGGAACTTGAATGGAAGTCAATGTTTATCAAAGATCAAGGTCACAATGAATATTTTGGGATGTCACAGGCAGTTTCCGTAAGAGTAGCTTCTCATACTAGTAATAGGTATTTTTTCAATACAAACATGCAGTTGTTAATGCATTTGAAAACAGGAAGCGACATTATAAAGTGTCAATAACTTTCTCATTAAGCTGCAGCTAGAGGCATAGAACTTTCCATTTTACATTTTACATTAAGCGTGTGTTTTAAAACAAACAGGATGTGATGTTGTTAGACAAGAAATGAAGATAGCCATGATTGATATGTGTTGTCCCAAAGTAAGGTCATCAGACTGAAAGTGCATTTGGATACTGGTAAGTCATCATATTTTTAACCTTTGACAAAATAACAATTTCTAACAATGTCTGTCTTGTTGGCAGGATCCCAAGCGTCATTTAGAAGAGCATGTAGATGTCCTGATGACCAAGAACATTGTGCAGTGTCTCGGCTCCATGTTACATACAGTTGTATTCAAATAGACACTAATACCATCATGTGGAGTGACCAATTCCAGTCACAGAAAAAAACACAAAATTAATGTTTTGTGAAATAGAAATACAGCAAGCTCATCTTTACACTTGATGGGTGAACTGCTGTTCCTCTGGTATGATGTCAAGACAAAAGGAAACCCAGCCCAGTTTATTGTAAAAGATGGAATATTGCTTGTGGCATGGACATTTGAGGTGTCTGGATTGGGAAAGAAATAGATGCACATAAGTGCTAATCTCCTTGTATATACTACTTTATGTGCTCTTGTCACCTTCCATTGTATTGCTTAAGCTCATTTCATTTGTATAAAAATTATGTCAATGAAAACATCAAGTGTGTTTGTTCTTTTACATTTAAGCAAAGCTTGTCATGAGAAACAGTGTGTAAACCTTGGTGTCATTGTAACATGTTCAATATCCTATTGGCAGTTGATTTTGTGATGAGTCTACCCTCAGGGAAAGTCACAACAACTCCTGGAGATAAGTAGGTGAGAAGATTTATCCATATTCCCAATTACAAAGGGGCGGTTGGGTAGCCTAGTGGTTAAAGTGTTCGCTCGTCATGCCGAAGACCCGGGTTCGATTCCCGACATGGGTACAATGTGTGAAGCCCATTTCTGGTGTCCCCTGCCGTGATATTGTTGGAATATTGCTAAAAGCGGCGTAAAACCATACTCACTCACTCACCCAATTACAAATGAAGAAGGTTGGATAGAATTATGATTTCACTTGAAATACCCAGCAACAAATATTGACCGAACTGTTTTCAATGTGACTAGGTGGGAGTGTTGAGACAAATTTTGCTTTGATCCCCCATACTATTACTTGTAAGAGGTGACAATATTGCACGTCAAGCAGAGGCAGAGTGATGTCCAGTGACCCTTCCATGGACAATATGCAGTGGCATTCGAGCAGTCATGGTGATACTGCCCCATATCATTACAGACCAACAACAAAATCTTTTATGTTGGCTTGTGTTGGCGTTAGCACTGGGTTCCTTAAAATGCCTCCAGACACATACATGCCTTTCCAGAAAGCCGAGAGTGAACATGGTGAATATGGTCTCATCTGAGACCAGTTTCCACTCACCAAATAACATTGACACATTCTAGCCAAATGCCAATGTGTTGACGGTGGTACAGGGTCTTTACAATGGTACAACATGCGGACAATTTCTAATCTTCTGGTCAGCAACTCCGGTGGCCGGTGCAAGTAAACTGTGATTTCATTGGCTGTTTGGGCCTTGTTTCTGATTAATAGATCCTGGACTTGTGTTGTTGACCTTAGGGTCCCTGTGCTGGGCCGATCAAAAATATTATGTGTCTGCAGAAACCTGTTGCTAAGTCTGCAAATCACAGACAGACATATTGGCAGCCTCACATTGAGTTCTACCAGTCAGTATTATACTGTATTAAAGCAAGAGAAGAGAGATTTCGTGTCACTGTAGGTATTTAAAATTAACAATAACAATTTGACAAATTGTACACAACAGTCCATGAATTGTTTCAGGTGTTGGAGTGTTTGCACGTCTGGCAATCATTTTTCAAAGCTGATCTTTGTTCTGACAGCTGATCAGAAACCCATGGTGGTTATAAAGAGGCGACTAACAGGATCGGGTGATCAGGCTCGCTGACTTGGTTGATGCATGTCATCATATCCCAATTGCATAGAACTATGCTCATTGTGTCAATCACTGGATTGTCTGGTCCAGACTTGATTAATTATAAACTGCCATTATATAGTTAGAATATTGTTGACCGCAGCATTAAACAACAAACAAACATTATGTGCAGAACATTTTAAAGCTAAAAAAAAATAATAGTCTTGGTTCTCAGGCACCACCTGCATAATCATAAAGTCTGCCGTATGTTTCGTTTATATTTCAAATTTCAACAAAATATAAAAATCCTGATGCATGTATGTGAAATAAATGCGATCCAATATAGCACACAGTTACTTCCCTTTACATGTGCACTGCTTTGCTGCGCATCTCATGTTATGTTCATGGCGGCAATAGGAGTTTGTATGCTTGTTTATGTTGGGAGGCCCTTTCCTTGGTTGATTGTACACAACTGTATATTTGGTTACATCAAAGACGTATATACATCTTTGGCTACTAGTTAGAACAAGCAACAACAACAAACACCAGCCGCCAGCACGATATATACAAAAGTCATTGCCTGAGAACCAATTCATTTATTTTTTTAGCTTAAGAGGAGATTTCTGAGTGATGATCCAGAGAGAAAAGGTGGTGTTCTGATGAAGATTATTTGTGAAATAAAGACATCCATTTTCATAAATCAAAAACCTGTTTTCAGAGAAGCAACCCTTTTATTTCAACAGCATTAATAAGTAAATGGTGTTATCATGGTTATGTTATTGATAAGTAATGAAAAGTCAGTTATGTACCGACTACATTGCTCTGTAAGTTTAGTCTTCATCAACAGAATTAAACAATAACAAGGTAGCAGTTCAAGTTCTTTGAGACATATCCCAACACCCTACCACAAAATTTAACTGTGAAACGGGTCCATTTCTGTGCTTCTTTTATAAAAATGATTTTAAGAACAATCAATCGGACCTATGCATAGAAGTTGTGGAGCAACACTTACGCACCGAAAAGGGTTTTTGACTTGGCACAATCTTCCTTGCATAGTGATGATATGGCCATTAGAGATGCTATATGTTGACTTTTACTGTGACAACCCAGAACAGTTCATTTTGTGGGATGGAAAATTTGCAGACCCCTTCCCAAGCATACAGAATTTAATCTGACATGAAAACATTTAGACTGCTCTCCAGTTCGGATATATAATCAAGCGAGTTTCTTGCACTACAGATTATGCATTGTACACGCAGTAGAAAGCCAGTTCTTGCTGGAATCAAGAGGACTCAGAAGATTCTTCACATGAAAATACTAATCAACATCAGTCACATCCTGAAGGATTTTCCAGACACTGATCTGTAAGACCCATGAAATGGGATAACTAGGCATTGCTAAAGCTCCCAGCTGCTTGCTGTAACAACAGTCTTAATAATGGTGCAACATTCTAAACTGGTTAAATATTGTGTAAAGAATCAATCAAAACTATATAAAACTATATATATAGGGAGGGAAGTAAGAGTGACTGATAAGGCAATCTGTTGACATGTTATGTTCCTGATGATCAATATTAATATTCAACAGTATTTATACACCTACATGGTGTACATCGTTGTTAAAATACAAGGCTGGACAAATATCTGACCATTGAACTGACTACCAACAGCAAAACACAACCAAGATTTATGCTGCCTGCATTACAAATTCTCAAAACAAGTTATCACAAATTCAACATAAAATTGACTACACCTATCACAGATCACCAAAACATGCCAGTGTTTCTATTTATTGCATGATATCAAATAGATGGATTCAGATGATTGGTTGAGAGATACCCTCACAGGCAATGGATGTCAGCTCAAGCCTCTGTTAGTCCCAGCGATCCAGCACAAATGCTGTGTTGTAACCATTGGTGGTCACAATGCAGAGTAACGTCCATGCAATTTCAGCTTTTATTCATTGGAGAATATTTTGGAATGATGTCTCTTCATACATGATTTATCCTGCAAATGTCTGTGCATAGAAATCTAGAAAGGCGTGGATATAGATTGTTCTTGGTTACAAATTGAGCACTGTCGGAGGACGTCCAGCCATTGTTCACTGAGCAACCACTGTCTTGACGTAATTGATTCGTGCAGGATGGTCATCTGCTGGTCTGTTGATGGGAGTCCACACTGGCTCACCAACAAACAACCGCACAGCCTTGATGTAGTTCTGAAAGGAATAAATAAGTTACCAAGTAATGAATTATATCATATAATTTCAAAGTTTTTAAACTTATCCTATCTCACACTATGCATTTCTTCTTTCGTTCTTACGTGGAAACGCGCTTGAACAATGTTTCTTTCTTCTAAAAAGAAATCACCTGAACACATCCAAGCATAACCATGGTCACCACCCAAACAAATGGGTCACTAACTTTAATCCCATACATAGCGACCTACAGGACCTGATCATGTGAATACCCCTGCCACATCATTCTCTTTCTCATCACCACTCCGCGACTGCTGTGGCCTTTGTTCAATGTATTTACCTACACAAATGCCAAAAGGTAATATTGATAGTTGGGCTAAATCTAAGGAAGCAGTATACAGGCCTTCCTCTACAAAGAAGCCCAAATGTGTTACAAAGTTGGCTTCTCTTTCACCATAACAGCTGTGAAAAACTGTGCCCCACCGCCCAACTGTGAGGTAAATGCATAGTGTCAGACATTTGCAAATTTTACATCAAATTGTTTATTTTCTATACTTTTCTATACTATACAATTTCACATGCTGTATGCCCTCCCGACAAACCCCGCATCACTGCTCCTCTAGCTGGTTAGCTCTGAGAATGAGAACGACGTGGCAGAGGTATTCACGTGATCAGGTCGTGCAGGTCGCTAAGCATTGGATTACAGTACGTGACCCATTTGTATGGGTGGCGACCATGGGATACTGGGATGCGTTCAGGTGATTTGTTTTTAGAAGCTGGAACTTTGTTCAAGCGCATTTCCACATAGGATCAAAAGAAGATGTAAGAAATGCATAGTGTGAGATATGATAAGTATATAAATATACAATTTATGGCAATGTAAATTTTCGCAAAAACATTCTGATGAAACCCATATATATATTAACTCCCAAGCTAAATGAAAGGTTTCACAACATAATAAGTCACTGGATGAAATATAAGTATCTGAATGTTCAACACATTGTTAAATAGTGAGTTAGTGAGATTGGTTTAATGCCACTTTGAACAGTATTTCAGTTATGACAGCTTAATGTGGGAGAAACCTCTGAAGACATGCACAGTCACAACTTGGTTGAGACCCACAAGCACAGATATAATTTTTATTTTTTTATTTTATTTTTGCAATTTTTTTATTCATCTCAGTAAGTCACTTAGTAAGAAAAGAAAAGAGACAAAGAATAAGTGTATACAGTATTCATCAGTGTTGTACAATAAATTCACTTTTCAAAAGCATATTCTTTGTCTCTTTTCTTTTCTTTTTGTTGGCAAGGCCTCAAAACTTTACAGAAATAATTTTGATCTTGTTATCCATTATCAAAAATAACCTGAAATGAAACAAAAAAAGAGAAAACTCAACAGTATAGTTTGCCGCTAAGACCTGGGCAAAACCAACCCATCCTTATCAAAATTTAAGGACCACATATTTCCAATATCAATGCATACTCCAATAGACGTTTTGCAGTCTTGCTGTGTATGCAAGACCAGTTTATAAGGTGTTTTCAAACTCATGTTATTTTTAACCTGAGACATAGGTCGAATCAGACCTAAATAATAATAGTAACTGTATACATGCAAGTATAGGTAGTATATCCTGAAATTATATAGGACTAAACACTAACATTAGGTGAGGTGAAATGTGGTTTAACGTCGCGTCCAAGATTATTGCACTTATATAGCAACTGTGTGTGTGTGTGTGTGTGTGTGTGTGTGTGTGTGTGTGTGTGTGTGTGTGTGTTTGTGTGTGTGTGTGTGTGTGTGTGTGTGTGTGTGGCTGCTTGTCCAGACGGATCCTGATTTATAGTGCTAGCTTACTGAGGTACCATGCCGCAGTTTAACATGAATACCCCACTCAGACACAGTATACTGACTCCAAGCCGACCAGTCCTTGTTTTAGCCCCTTAATGCCGAGCGCCAGACAGCGTAACAACAAGTACCATCTTTTAACATCTTTTGGTATGATGCAGCCGGGGATCAAACCCTGGACCTTCCGCTCTCCAGGCGGACGCTCTACCACTAGACCACGGAGGAGGTCAACACTAACATTAAAACATAAGTGTTGAACTGCATGTTCACTCACATATTATCAGATTTGTTGAAAAAGTGGGTCAACTATATTATGCTATTCCATCATGACACAACAAAATCTATTTAAGTAGGACTTATAACATTAAATATAGATGATGTCAAATGTGTTGGAGCAGGTCTTATACCCTACTGCATGTACACTGTCTGATTATCAGACTTTTCTACTGTTGAATAAGTGGGTCAAATATATTATGGAATTTCATCATGACACAGTAAAAATGTTTTACCGTAGGACTTGTGACATTAAACACAGAGGATTTTGTAAGTGTTGTATCAGGCTCTATACCGTAAATAGTAACATAATGGTAACTTTTTGCAGTAGATAGATAAATAGATAAAATACAAGAACTGACAAGCGTATGACCTGAACAGTCCACTCCCATCCCAACCAACATTCAATGTGACAGCATCACAATTCGCATAGAGTGTACTGCACTCAATATTTGTCAATTATTGTCAATAATTAAGGATAACATTTTACCAATCCCCAGTGCATATATAACTAATGTTTTTCTCTGTATGCATGATGAATTACGGGATATAAATTAGTTTCACAAACATGTTGTACTGGAATATAAAACATATGTCACATCATTCCCGAACACTAGTGGAAACACAACACAGTATAGATATGGTTGTATAGAGACAAGAGATAAACAGTTTTATCTTCAGTGAAGTACATGTATGTGGGTCTAGTACATTATAATCTTCCATCAACACTCGGCATATCTATTCAATGTAAAACATGAACACTGAAAATGGATGTTACCAGTGTTGTCACAGGCTCTACACCACTACTTCAGGCATACAATTAATTATGCTATTCTGAAATAGTTATGAACAGGATAGATAATAACATACATGAGGTGGATGGATGGATGGATGAATGGATCCATTTCCAGCAATAGAAACAAATAGCTTTAGTGCACTAGTCCTTATAATGATAACATATAGCAAAATCCTTAAAAAGAGCAAATTTCTACAAGTCCTAATGATACCTCATATTGGGCTGTTTGGCAAAGACTATAGCACTTGTGCCAATTTCTAACGCTGATTTCTCTAACACCTGTCAGTCATTGCTTACATTAATGATGAAACTTATGGTCACTATTACTTGTAACATAACCATGATAATGCGCACAAGGATACAAAGTTACATTACTTGATAGAGGCCATAAACTTAATCATTAATGTCAGCAATGGCTGACAACAGATATTGGAGAAAGGGATTGTGAATACTATGCTGTCATTACCTTGGTGTCTAAGGTGAATCTGTGGTAGATCCCAGCAGGCAAAATGAGGAGGTCGCCCTTCACACACTCGATTCTTATCCACTTGTCATCCTTATCTCGAACATCGAAGTAACCGCTGCCATCAATGATGAGCCGAATCTCTTCATCAGAGTGAAGATGCTCCTCAAAGAAAGCCTTTATCTAGTGTGGAAAGGACAGTAAGCATAATCTTACATGATGAACAGCATATTTACTGAAAAATGAACACATAATGAGTGAGTACGGTTTTACGCCGCTTTTAGCAATATTCCAGGAATATCACGGCGGGGGACACCAGAAATGGGCTTCACACATTGTACCCATGTCGGGAATCGAACCCGGGTTTTCGGCATGACGAGAACACATAATGACATTTCCTTATCGTAAACCATTATTCTGTTACATTAAACATCAGGCAGTTAGTAGATAAAACATAAAATGGACAATGGACAGCAATATTCTAGCAATATCACGGCGGGGAACACAAGAAATGGGATTCACCCAAATGTTTACCTTCACTTCATAATTTGGTAGAGTATCCTTTTTAATTTCGATCAAATCTTCATACGAATAACCTCTATCCTCACGGAGCTTTTTCAGGGCGCTGTTCTCCAGGTAACCATCTGCATCCATCTGTTGACAAAACAAGCGATGAGAGTCAATGTCCATCAATTATGAGTTTCTCATCTCCATTCCCAGTTTCAGAAGATGACAGCAGGGGAAATGAACAATAAAAATAGATAAAACCTTTGGTTAAGAATACAGCTGATACATCGCCTTTGTCTACTTTGTTGAACATTATATCATATAGTATTCAAAATAAAGCATCAAAGTCTATGGTTTATTGTCCTAATTTTAATGATAAGCACGGAAGATTTAGGGGTTCCCAGATTCAAACACTGTACCATAGTGTCATCAGAAGACCCTGGTTTGCAAGGCTTACAGTTTACAAGAAACAACAAAGCAAAGGAAGAGTTACTTCCCTTCTACTAAATCCTGAAGAAATACAGTGAGGACCTTCTTAAAGAAACAGGAAGTTCTATTTTTTCACTACAGTGCTGCACATATGTAAGAAGGCATGCTATTTTTTCACTACAGTGATGCACATAGGTAAGAAGGCATGCTATTTTTTCAATACAGTGCTGCACATAGGTAAGAAGGCATGCTATTTTTTCAATACAGTGCTGCACATAGGTAAGAAGGCATGCTATTTTTTCAATACAGTGATGCACATAGGTAAGAAGGCATGCTATTTTTTCAATACAGTGCTGCACATAGGTAAGAAGGCATGCTATTTTTTCAATACAGTGCTGCACATAGGTAAGAAGGCATGCTATTTTTTCAATACAGTGCTGCACATATGTAAGAAGGCATGCTATTTTTTCAATACAGTGCTGCACATATGTAAGAAGGCATGCTATTTTTTCAATACAGTGCTGCACATATGTAAGAAGGCATGCTATTTTTTCAATACAGTGCTGCACATAGGTAAGAAGGCATGCTATTTTTTCAATACAGTGCTGCACATAGGTAAGAAGGCATGCTATTTTTTCAATACAGTGCTGCACATAGGTAAGAAGGCATGCTATTTTTTCACTACAGTGCTGCACATATGTAAGAAGGCATGCTATTTTTTCAATACAGTGCTGCACATATGTAAGAAGGCATGCTATTTTTTCAATACAGTGCTGCACATATGTAAGAAGGCATGCTATTTTTTCACTACAGTGCTGCACATATGTAAGAAGGCATGCTATTTTTTCACTACAGTGCTGCACATATGTAAGAAGGCATGCTATTTTTTCAATACAGTGCTGCACATATGTAAGAAGGCATGCTATTTTTTCAATACAGTGCTGCACATATGTAAGAAGGCATGCTATTTTTTCACTACAGTGCTGCACATATGTAAGAAGGCATGCTATTTTTTCAATACAGTGCTGCACATATGTAAGAAGGCATGCTATTTTTTCAATACAGTGCTGCACATATGTAAGAAGGCATGCTATTTTTTCAATACAGTGCTGCACATATGTAAGAAGGCATGCTATTTTTTCAATACAGTGCTGCACATATGTAAGAAGGCATGCTATTTTTTCAATACAGTGCTGCACATAGGTAAGAAGGCATGCTATTTTTTCAATACAGTGCTGCACATAGGTAAGAAGGCATGCTATTTTTTCAATACAGTGCTGCACATATGTAAGAAGGCATGCTATTTTTTCACTACAGTGCTGCACATAGGTAAGAAGGCATGCTATTTTTTCAATACAGTGCTGCACATATGTAAGAAGGCATGCTATTTTTTCACTACAGTGCTGCACATATGTAAGAAGGCATGCTATTTTTTCACTACAGTGCTGCACATATGTAAGAAGGCATGCTATTTTTTCAATACAGTGCTGCACATATGTAAGAAGGCATGCTATTTTTTCACTACAGTGCTGCACATATGTAAGAAGGCATGCTATTTTTTCAATACAGTGCTGCACATATGTAAGAAGGCATGCTATTTTTTCAATACAGTGCTGCACATAGGTAAGAAGGCATGCTATTTTTTCAATACAGTGCTGCACATAGGTAAGAAGGCATGCTATTTTTTCAATACAGTGCTGCACATATGTAAGAAGGCATGCTATTTTTTCACTACAGTGCTGCACATAGGTAAGAAGGCATGCTATTTTTTCAATACAGTGCTGCACATATGTAAGAAGGCATGCTATTTTTTCAATACAGTGCTGCACATATGTAAGAAGGCATGCTATTTTTTCACTACAGTGCTGCACATATGTAAGAAGGCATGCTATTTTTTCAATACAGTGCTGCACATATGTAAGAAGGCATGCTATTTTTTCACTACAGTGCTGCACATATGTAAGAAGGCATGCTATTTTTTCAATACAGTGCTGCACATATGTAAGAAGGCATGCTATTTTTTCACTACAGTGCTGCACATATGTAAGAAGGCATGCTATTTTTTCAATACAGTGCTGCACATATGTAAGAAGGCATGCTATTTTTTCACTACAGTGCTGCACATATGTAAGAAGGCATGCTATTTTTTCAATACAGTGCTGCACATATGTAAGAAGGCATGCTATTTTTTCACTACAGTGCTGCACATATGTAAGAAGGCATGCTATTTTTTCAATACAGTGCTGCACATATGTAAGAAGGCATGCTATTTTTTCAATACAGTGCTGCACATATGTAAGAAGGCATGCTATTTTTTCAATACAGTGCTGCACATATGTAAGAAGGCATGCTATTTTTTCAATACAGTGCTGCACATATGTAAGAAGGCATGCTATTTTTTCAATACAGTGCTGCACATATGTAAGAAGGCATGCTATTTTTTCAATACAGTGCTGCACATATGTAAGAAGGCATGCTATTTTTTCAATACAGTGCTGCACATATGTAAGAAGGCATGCATCTCCATATATTTCAAACCATTTAGCATTGCAATTAGATACATACAAACTATTGAAATACAACCATAACCATATCCTCTCTTGTTATGTCTTAATCATAAATCATGAAGCTACTTAACCTTTTTTATGAAAGATGGGCTGATAAGATTATCTGACACGTTCCATAATACCATGTATAATACATATCCTATTATTTTTTTACAAAACAAACATTTGTATTGTTTTTCTTGGATATTTTTAATATTTATAGGCGAAACAAATAATACACTTATAAATAAACATTCTGATCATACCTTGAGACTTCAATTATGAGATTAATTTCATTTAGGTTCCATGAATATGCAGTGCTAATTTAAGCAACATTCAGCAGCTCTGTGGATTTTATTTTGCCACAGTCAGCATCTACTTTTCAAACTTTGTTCAAACATACAAAACTACTTAATAGGATGAATAGTCATCTATGTTTAATTTCTTAGAATAATATATCATATAAGAAAAATAATATACTTTCTATTTTTAAATATAGAAGAACTTTGATCAATGACAAACAATGTTCATGAGGTTTTCCTCGACTGTTTTCATGTCCCACAGATGAGACTCCATGTTTGCTGCGAGAAAAGTGGTACTACAACCATGGAATTTTGGCATATATTTTTTTATATAAATATAATGTAAGTTAAGAGATATGTGATGGAAGTACATAGGATAGAACTATCTCTGAGTAGGCGATTGATAAGCAGATCTTAATCAGCATCATTCTTGATAAAGAAATATTTTTCAGTTTTGGCAGTGTGTAGATGTCGATCAGTGGAATTGGTAGCTCGATGACTTCTGTGATGGATCAATATGATATGTATTTCTCTTTTTTTGTTATCGACCGATAGACTGTGAAAATTGTGACACTAAGAGATAGGTGGTACCATTGAATCTAGAAAAAGCGGGAATGGAAGTTAGTGCTGTGACACTAAAACTAATTTCCCATGCTTGACGAGGGTGGTATGCGGAGTCTAAGGGAGCTGTAACGTGCTGATGACCAGAAGATGGGTTGGCCAAAAGTCACCCAGATGATATCTTTTTAAGTACTGCCATACTCTTTCGCACTTCACATCATCTAGTTGTATATGGAGTGTAAGAAGGTCATGCAATCTGAGGACATAATATAACATTGGAAATACTCCTTCATAAATAAATAATTTGAAAGAGCTACATCATCCCCAGGAAGCAGGGTGTGGCAAGAAGAATTTAAGTGGCCGAGGTAGCACCCTGGAAACCTCATTTTTCATTACCTCACTTTGAGAGAAAAGCGTCTGACAAAGATGCAACAAAGAAATCAAAACGGATACATTTGACTCATGTCTTCACTGGTGCATGACCAGGTCCTACATGGAGAGAATGCTGCTCAATATCAGAACATCTTCTATAGGTCATACTTCAAACCCATGTGAATCAGTTTTATTTCATCCATTTTACAGAGTACCCCTAACAGCAGTCAAAATTCTCCCAGTGTGTCTAGGTGTCTGTCATTCAACTGCAATGTCCTGCCACTATACCTGTATAGCAATATCAAGGTGGGTCATCTGCTTCGCTGAACATACAGCAGGTCAACAACACATGGCCTTGAACTTTCAAAGAGGCTTTCCATGGGCACTCTGCACCTTCTTCTACGCCGTTATTGACACCATAACACCCCCACAGTGTGTCTAGGTGTCTGTCATTCAACTGCAATGTCCTGGCACAATACCCCATTCCATCCCCAGCTCTAGTAGCCTTTACTCATCCCCTTTTGGGGGACAGGACATTTTTCATTTTAGGGGTTGGTGTGGGGTGACAATTAAACATGATATTGGACTGTATCATGTTTAATCCCCACCAAAATACATGTCACACTTTTTCATGCCACCCCCTCCCTACATTACATGACCAGTCCCTAAATAATGTTAAAATTTATATTTGTATAATATAAAAAAGAGTGGAAACGTGTCATTTTTTCAATTGGGTCATTCATCACGGGAGGGACGACTTACCTGGTAGTATTCGACACCAGCCAGCTCTCTGAGCGTAGCTAAGTCGACAAACTGCGGAGGTTCCTGCATGTGGGGCTGACGCTGATCAGTGTCAGAACTGTCCATAAACCACGCCCTCACCATTTTAACTGCTGTTAGTTTAGACGATCAAATGCGTTGTGCAGGAATATGGATCTGTTTTGATTCATGTAATCCGTCACATGTGGAAAATCGGGCCCATTCGTCACCACTCGACACTTTCCGTAACCAGCCCCGTCTCTAATATCACAATATACGCAAGTTGAAGACGCGCATAGGGAGCCGGGAACCAGCTTAGGAATGACACCGCTCGGGTAAACTCGGGTTTATGTCGCTACTGATACATTCGTGACCAACTCGTGTTATTCCGGGACAAGCCGATAGTGCAATCTGCCAAGAGGGAATGACACGAGTTGGTCACGAATCAGGCACGTCAAGGTTGGATGAATTGATGTGAGGGTTAACCCATTTGAACAGCCGACTGAAAAACACCGATAGACTTATTACTTCTGGTCTAACCCTAATAAAGATGGGGTTTGAAGTGACAATTATTAATCTATTAAAAACCAAGCACAGGGCAATTACCGTGGTTCCTCGATTAACCATCGGGCTTATATTTCTTTCAGATACATGTGCTCTTTATCCCCGGCGGTTAATCGCAAACATATAATGGGGAGAGTTCCGTTTATGGTGGGCCCATAGAAATATGACACAGTTCTATTTTATTTTCAAATAATATGTTTTTAAATGTAAACGTTTTATAAGGACTGCATGCTCATTTGATATAGAGAGAGGGGTGGGGCATAAAAAATGTTACTAGCTGTCCTCAGGTCAATCTCACGCCCCCAACCCCACCTCCATATAATAAATCACCAGTCCCTAAATGCTGAACTAATTCATCGCTCAACAAACTTTATTAAAACAGGATTTTAGATATCTCTTCGATCCGAACCTCCACCATGGGTGGCCCAGTCATCTAAGGCGGCGATTCGCTGTGCAAAGTTGCGTCCCTTAGGCACGCCAGAAACCTATGATTGTGGGTTCGAATCCCGGTTCGCCCCGATTATGTTTCTAGGTTTGTCAGCACCATACCCGTGCTCGTGGGTTTCACCGAAGTGGTAAACGTCTGAGACCTGCATCACTTCGGGCTTTCCTCCCACATTAAACTGACACGCCGTGATATAACTGGAATACTGTTAAAAGCGGCGTTAAACCCAGCGCACTCACTCCACCTGGCTTAATTTGATTGACTTCGATACTTTTCACTGCCCATGTTTGTCCAGGACAATCCCAATATGTAGTTATCCTCAACTTACCCTGATGATTTAAAATGAGTCTGCTGGCATATCCATTGCCAAAGGAAACAAAGTGAAGTATTTAATTGCAAGTACCGCCGTTTTTGAGCTGAACACGAGCTTGATGGATCACTCCCCATTATACAATGTAAATAATGTATTAAGTACCCTAAACAGGATAGCAAACAAAATGCAGCCAAAACAACAAAATATATATATTGTTTCAAAATGTGTAGAGAGGTTTTCATGCATTCGGAACGCACAAGTGAAGAGGAACCGAGGGACATTCTGTACAGAGTCACCCTCACCCAGGGATATTCTGCACAAAGTCACCCTTACCTAGGGATTTTCTGTACAAAGCCACCCTCACCTAGGGATTTCCTGTACAAAGTCACTCTCACCAAGGGGTATTCTGTACAAAGTCACCCTCACCCAGGGGTATTCTGTACAAAGCCACATTCACCCAGGGTATTATGTACAAAGTCACCCTCACCCAGGGGTATTCTGTACAGAGTCACCCGCACCCAGGGATATTCTGTACAGAGTCACTCTCACCCAGGGATATTCTGTACAAAGTCACCCTCACCCAGGGATATTCTGTACAAAGCCAACCTCACTCAGGGATATTCTGTACAAAGCCAACCTCACCCAGGGATATTCTGTACAAAGTCACCCTCACCCAGGGATATTCTGTACAAAGCCAACCTCACCCAGGGATATTCTGCACAAAATCACCCTCACCCAGGGATATTCTGTACAAAGCCACCCTCACCCAGGGATATTCTGTACAAAGCCAACCTCACCCAGGGATATTCTGCACAAAATCACCCTCACCCAGGGATATTCTGCACAAAGCCACCCTCACCCAGGGGTATTCTGTACAAAGCCAACCTCACCCAGGGATATTCTGTATAAAGCCACCCTCACCCAGGGATATTCTGCACAAAGCCACCCTCACCCAGGGATATTCTGTATAAAGCCACCCTCACCCAGGGATATTCTGTACAAGGCCAACCTCACCCAGGGGCATTCTGCACAAAGTCCTCCTCACCCAGGGATGATGTCGACTTCATGTCAGTCATTCCATTGGTCGGTCAAAGTTCGGAAAAGGTCGGTCAGACGTGACCCGTAATGGGATGTCCTTAGATCTTTGTTTAGCGGTAGAGAGAACTAAGATCTGATTTTAATGAGATTGCCCTCAACCAAGAATATTCTGTACAAAGCCAACCTCAACCAGGGATATTCTGTACAAAGCCAAAGTCACCCTCAACCAGGGATATTCTGTAGAAAGTCCCTCGATCTGCAGGGATCTCCCTCGGTTTATTCTTCATTTGAACTCAATCTATACATAGCAAACATATAACAGTTATGTCTTTAGGAAATGTACAGAAACAACTGATGCTACGTTAGTTATATTTCGTTTGGATCGAACCTGCGACCTCATCTGTAGCCTAGTGAGTATTATTTCTGGTATTTCTTGCATTTACACAGTCTAAAAGTTTTCCTAGATTTTGGTTAAACAGTTTGGGTCAGGAAAAGCCCTTGGACCTCAACCAAAACCTCACAGGCGTGTTTTATCATTTACGAATAGCCTATTTGCAAATAGTGACAGAACAATCTAAGATTTTAAACAATCCTTATGTGCAAGAATTCACCGGTCTTTGGACAATGGCCATCTCACATCAAGCACCTCAACTACCTCAACCACACCACACCTGTCATGTTGAAAGGTAATGCCTGGGCCATGACGTCGCAAAAACGGTAGAACAACAGGGCCGATGATCTCGTCGCGGTAGCGCTGTCCATTGAGATTTCCCTCTACCACTATAAAACGGGTCCCCTGTCTTGCTGTAACCCAACCCCATACCATAACGCTGCCGCCCCCCAACCGATCTTCTTCCATCACACAATGATTGACGTAACGTTCACCTCGACGTCGGTACACTCGAATCCGTCCATCGCTGTGGCTGAGGTGAAAGCGAGACTCGTCAGTGAATAGAACTTATCCCAATTGCATGGCCGTCCAGCTTAGACGCTGTCTGCACCACGACGTGCTTGACGGTGGTTTCCTGTCAAAATGGTACGTCTGGCGGGTCTTTTGGCGACAATCCCTGCACATCTGAGGCGACGACGTACGGTTTGTGAAGATATTCGTCGAATGCCAGGTATGCTTCTTGCAGTCACTGTTACTGGCTGGAATCGATTTCGTAGGTGTGTTGTTCGAATCCAGTTGTCTTGTCGATTATTGGTTACGCGTGGTGTGCCACTCCGAGGATGGGTTCTGACTGCATTCGTCTGTTGCCAACGTTGCCATAAATACCAAATGGTGTTTCTGTTGACGTTAAATTGTCTTGCAACATCACGTTGACTCGATCTTGCTTCAAGCATACCAATGGCTCGCAGACGCTTATTTTCGGACAGGCGTGACATCTCGTAATGTTGAATAATTGCGTAATTTTGTTGTTTTTTTAGTGGTTGTTGTCAGCACGATGCTAAACAATGCATATGGAATCCCGTTAACGCACATGTTTTTATACCCATTCATGGGTAATAAAATGCATGGGGCTTGCATAAAAGTCAACTTTTGTATGGAATGCATGCTTTTCTGTAGCAGCTGCGTTTTTGGGACTTGATTCTATACATGTACTACAATATTGACAACCAAACTTTACTTGTTTGAAAAATACGCTAAAATATTGGTGTCACAGGAACTTTTGTTGTTGAGTATATTTCGCCTTTCACATGCAGCAAAAACATAAGTCAATACATAGTATCAGTAATCACCACTAATATGAAATAAAAATGTGACTGACGATATAATTGGGTTATTATTCAATCCGTTTGACTTTGCATGCTCCCGTGACTCGGAAACGGTAGACGATAAATCAACATGCTACATGCAAGTTTCTCGGTATCTTTCACTTGAACCTTTGTTGATATTAAGAATCACCATTCAATGTTACGGTGAATATAAATGGACATGATTCATATTTCTGCGATATACACGCTGATAAGTTTCACTGTAATAAGTGTGTCCCACGCAATACGTCTATGGATATTGTCGATCAGCAAGATCTCCCGGGCCTCTGCAACAGGTGCGCGAAATGGGCTTGACAAAATGTGTTTCACAATAACATTCCTGCGTTTTTGAATATGATAGGATATATATAAGCAATAAAATGCTACATATTTTCGCTGTTAGTTACAAATTACATTTGGGACAGTGTTGCTTTCATAATACATTAATAGATTCTAGCATGATTTTAGAACAATTTCACGAAGCATTTCGAAATGTATTCCCAAAATATGAAGACCGCCCTGATTGCGTATTGATAATAGATTTATAATTGTTTAATTATTTACAGCTGTTTACAGGTTTTGAAATTTTAAGTTATATTTTTATATTTTGTAGATATTTTTTCCACAATGATTGTGTGTATGGACACTTAATATTGGGCAGTGGATCAGCCCAGTGTTACTGATGATTCAATGATTATCTTCAGTTTAAAGATAATTTATTCTGCAATTATTATCTTTCACTCTGAACATCAATTATGTGAATAAGTAACTATTTGATGTCGTTTAATTTTAGTATTCCATGAATAATGACTAAGTTGATCAGATACCTAACATATAAATACTTAACTCATGTGGACATTAATCTTGTGCATTCGTTTCCATTTGTTTCCAAATAAAACAATTCTAAAATATATTTGTAATAGGAATATGATACATTAATTACTTGTAACAGTACATGAAATATTTGTTTGTTTAATCACAAGAGTGAGTGAGTGAGTGAGTGAGTATGGTTTTAGCAATATCCCAGCAATATCACGGCGGGGAACACCAGAAATGGGCTTCACACATTGTACCCATGTCGGGAATCGAACCCGGGTCTTCGGCGTGACGAGCGAACGTTAATCA